AACATCTTCTAGAAATGCCATTAAATTGGATGTTGAACAAGCAAATCATGCATCAGTTCCAAACTAAACTTTTCAGTTCATGAAACACCCGGCCAGTCTACAAACTAAACTAAACAAACAAACGGATGTCGGAACTAAACTTTTCAAATCTATAATCATCGTCAAATTCATACAGAATACTATACTAAACTATACGAAACTATACTAAACCAGACTAAGCTATATATCATCTATACAGTTGCGATGTTCATCCCACAGCAACACCAACAACGAACACCGCGCCTGAGCCGCAGGTGATCTGCCTGGTTGATCCAAACCACCGTTTGCCCATCACTCTCAGCGCCTGATGGGTTGCTCTGGTTCGTTGATTTGACTAGTGACTAGTGGACTCCAAGCGCTTATTATGGTGCTTATAATGGTTAAAATGCTGCTAAAAATGACGATTATGAGTTATGATGGTTAAGTGATGGCTCTAGTGCATGAGAATCATGGCTACATGGTGAAGTTTGGTGAATTTTAATGGTTTTGACCATGTTCATGATTAAGAAATTAGATGGTTGGGGTTGTAAATGCTTGCGGATCAACTATTGATTGTGGATTTCAAACCAATTTTGAATAGTGGATGATTGATGCTAGACAAATGATTGTCATGATCATCGAGGATTTCTTACTTAATCGCAAACGGTTGAGGATTGGCGGTTAGCATTCGTTTGCGCGGCTTCTAATGGGTCCTTGGGTGAATGGTTGATAGTTCATTTCTGAATGGTTTTCGCTTTGTCAATGACTGTGACCTCACTATCGCTCATTGAATCCAGGTGGCTACAAATCTCAGTTTTTTTTGAGGAATGGATCATCCATTAGAGGCTACAGTATTTGAAACGATCCACGGCCGCCTTCCAAGATGAAGGCTCCACGGGCATCCGGCCAATCTCGTCCAATCCCTGCACTGAGATCTGCGGGCGAACGAGGAAATCCGAACACCCTCGGCCGCCGACATCGGTTGGAAAAACCAAGGGCTGGAAAGATGCGGTTGGAAAATGGCAAGGCTGGGCAAGGTTGATGAAGGGAATCATCACTGTTCTGATCCTCATAAGCTGGTTGGTGGTTGAGCCACCCCTCTGAAACATATGAAAGTCAGCTGGGATCATTATTCCCAATATATGGAAAAAAAAACGCCATGTTCCAAACCACCAACCAGTGATTGAAAGGAAGGTCAAGGATTCCATGCTGGGCCTCAACACTGAATTGTGGAATCGCCACAAAGGTGGATCTGCGTTCCCAACTGAGGGCCCACCATAGGATGGCATCATCATTTCCCGCACTAAAAAATGAAGGGCCTTTGGAAACATGGCAATTAGATACCGTACCCTGCAAAAATTAAACTTTTAGCTGATTGGCACATTTGTATCCCGATTTATGGCAGAAGATTCTTAAAGTACCCATGTATACATAAGGTTTCCCCGGGAAATCAGCAGGTCGTAAGGGACCCAGTGGAAACATAGATCCTCACATTTTCGGCGACAAGAGACTGGCCCAGCTCAACCAAAGTCCGTTCCTCCTTCGGCGTGGTTCAAGGGCTGCCCATACATTAGCAAGGTTATCCTTCTAAAACATGTCGAGACTTGCAGTTGCAATTCTGCATCAATGCACGCATGTGTCTATGCCTACATATATATACACGCATACAAATGTCTGTATGTATGTACATATGTATAAACATCCATCGTACATGTTATATGATATATGTGTATATATATATAATATACACATTCATATGTTGATTCCCTGCCAACAAGTTTCACTTTTGGTGGGGCAAATGGTAAATCGATTGGCAGATCCCCGCCTGTGGATCCATGCCGTTGGGCATCGGAGCATAGCTCGTTGAAAATGCCAACGGATAGTACCTCAAAAACGATCCATTTCATAGATTTTAATGGAATTTTAATGGAATTTTGATGGAATTTTAATGGAATTTAATGGATGTCATGGAATTTAATGGAGTTTTTAATGAAATTTTAATGGAATTTAATGGATTTCATGGAATTTACTGGCATTTGATGATCCATTACAACAGTGATGGGAAGATAATGAGGTACACGTGGATTGAATGGAATTTAACGGGCTTTTATGGGCCTTATGAAAAATTAACCCATATACCTTCTGGTTATTCAAACCACGGAAGCCATGGTCCATTTATAGATGATAAACATGATTTACCTAAGGAAAAATCCTATTGTGGCCCTCTTGACATGGGGATGGGTCAAACCCTGGTACCTCAATTTTCATCGCCTAAAATGAACAGAACAATCTTTACTTTACCGACTTTACCCATATTGGTGGTTTTCATGATGACCCATGGCCATATGAATTTCTAGAGGCTTCAAAGGAAACATCGCCTTTTCCACCATGTGGGATCAGCCGAGCATCTGTCCATTCAGGGGCACCACCTGGCAGGTTTAAGGAACGATGGTTGAGTGAACTCACCAACAAAGATTCGTGCATTCATCCCAGAACAGGTTTAAGGAACAGTTTAAAACCAACCCCTTGATTTTGAGAATAAGAACCATGGGTTTCTGCAGTTCTTCCAAACCAAACCGTTGAACTAGAGATTAATTTGGGCCAAATGAACAAACGGCTTATACCCCCCCATATATTAAATTCATAGTGACTACAGTAAACAAATCCCCATTCCATCACCATTAAATCAACCCTCTATCTGCTTACGAATTAATCGCTGATACCTATTCTATCCGCATAAATGGGATTCAATCCTGATTAAATCCCGTTATAGATGTTATAGTCGATGAAATCCCATCAAATCACCACACTTTTTTGAAGTAATCCAAGACTTGAAGGGAACATTGACAGGAAATTGTTGAGGGAGTAAAACCATATATTCAATGAAATCATATTAAATCCACAGTTTTCTCCACATCCATGGGATTAAACCAAATTTTATATATATATATATGTGTATATTGTATATATTGTATATATGTGCATTGTATATACACATATACTGGCATATCCCGTTATGTAGTTCCCACCGTTGAACCCGCATTAAATCCAACATATTCCGTGAAATCCCAATGCTTTCCATGGATTTCCCATGGAAATCACCCAACTTCCAACGGATAAAAACACCCAGCAGCGCCTCCTGGTTGTGCATACAGCTGACCAGCAGCCGTTCCACCTCGCGTCGGTCCTCTTTGGAACACGACGGGGCGAACCTGGCGCTGAGCGTTTTCTGTGGAAGGCATGGAATTCAATAGATATCATCATGAATGAATATATATATATATAGTGAATACATCATGGTACCTATGAAATATATAAGTCATATAATAAGTGCCCGGTATATTATATATATATACACACCTAATTTCATATACAACATATTAACATATCCGGCTTCAGTTCAAAGACACTTGCTGGTGGTTTATGCCCATCTGCAAGCCAGATTTCAGTTGTTGGGCTGGAAGAAATCCACCGGCTAGTGTGGCATCTTGGATTTCTATTGGTCATAGATATATCCGTTCTATCCTATGATATCACCTTCACAATAGAATATCCCTTTTCACACAATATATCCAATTATATATTCCCTTTTTATGATCCATGTTTCAGTGCGAATGGTATAAACCATTATAAATCTCTATAAGTCGTAAAGTATAAACCATAACATATCCATTATACATATAATATATATATATAATAGATCCATATATCCATGGTATAAACCATTATTATAATTATTATAGTTATAAATTATATATGATGCCATGTCAGATATGGGATAATTCAGGCGCCGATCCATCAATTCGAACTTCTGGATACCCCACTGGTACCTGGCTCCGGCAAGGTTGCGTCGCATCTCGACTTTCACCTTGCGCGGAAGGGAAAGCCAGCAGTTCATTTGGGAATCAACATTTGGACAGCTGAAATTTGGGGTAAAGTTGGAGGCTTCACCCGTTTTTACCGGTTGATGTTGCGCGGTGGCACCAGGAAATTGAGCCCGGTGGCACAACAAATCCACTTGGGGAGTGAGGAAGATTGCAGTCTCTTATGGTGTTCATGGCTACTTATTTTGCATGATGATTGTAGTGGATAGAATGCGGAAAACTGGTGGAACGAAGTGCAAAGCTTGAAATCCACCAGAATATCACATGGTTTGCACCCCAATACGTCACGTGGGCTCGCTATGGCTCGCTCCAATTTCTGCCCAGCGACCCACTTGCAAGGCATCTCTGAGTTGTCATGACCTCTGGTGATCTGCGATGGGATGTGCAGAATCAACAAACAAATTGCTTCAAACCAAGCTCAGTCTCAAAGCCTCAAATCTATTCCAAAACTGTGAATTCCAAATCCCAACATCCCAACATCCAAGCACACCCTTCATGGCGCATGGCTCCCTACTTGGGAATATTATGGCGAATCTGTGTCACCCTACAACATTCAGTGAATTTTCAGCTTGGCATGAGAGATCTCCAATCAAAGTAACCAAAACATAAACGCATGAATCCATCTTCACCGGCCCTTCACCAATCGCTTGGAAAATTCAGCACCAACCTATTCAACCAAATGTTACTCAGTTACCCACATTTTGATGATTGAATCCACATATTTTGAATGTAAAGAAAACAGCGGTCATTGCTGAAAAAGAGAGTTCGAAGGTATAATGATATTCTTGGTTGCTGAAACCTCCATTCTTCCCATGACCAGTTGGTTCACCTTTTTGTGGATGGTTACATGCCAACTTTCCCACAGTTTTCCCCCAGCTTCGACCCAGCCGCTGCTCGGCAGCTCGGGGACGAAGTTCTCCAGCTGCTCGTGGATGCAGAGGAAGAGCGGTTTGAAGGTCTCGAGGCACTCTTCGTCCCCCGCCACCAGGCCCGAGGCCGTCCTGCCGAGATGGATGGGATCGTTTCCCATGGTTTCATGCGCGGATCACGATCTGAAGAGCCACAAAAGGGCACCCCTCAGATTCCTGTTTACATAAGTATCATAAATCCAGCCCCAAATGAGGTTATTTTTCATTGCTTTAATTTCAGAGTTGTACCCAGTACCCTGTATTTGTTTTGCTAAATCCCCATCTTCTACCCATCATTTGAGCAATGCTCAACCAACCACAGAGGGTTTGAGCCAACCACGTTCTGCACCAATCAACCATCATTTGTCAATGAAATCAATGATATCTGCGCATTCTTGTTGGTTTAAACACCCTAAAAATGAAGGTTCAAAACCCATTTCTCTCAACATTCTCTACACTAATTACCCTAATTTCTAACAGTTGAGCCCAAAAAAACCAGCCATCCATTTCTTCTATCCCCCATCCAACCCATCAAGTCATCAAACCCCAAGCGGTGCCCCCGTGACGGGCCGCTTCCTCTGCTTGCCAGCTTCGCGGTCCACGCCGGGCCGCAAACACGGACCCAGGCCTGACGTTGCCCGGAAATTTGGCCCATCCAATGGAGATCAAATGGGAATATCATGGGACCATACTGGGCATATATCCCGAGATATGGCGTTTTTTTTGGTTGGACTAGATATAATTCACTTTATGAGATTATCATGGGAATATATTATGAACTATTAGAACATATTGTGGGAATTAAATAATGGGATTGTAATGGAAATATTCAATATAATGGATATATGTCCAATGATATGTCCAATAATAATGGAACATACTGGCAGTAATACTCTTGTCAATGGGTAACCAATATAATGGGACTACAATGGGCATATATCCCTAGATATGACGGGTATATATATATATAGTGGGACTAGATATAATGGTCCAATGGAACGATAACGGAATTACATCGTGAACATATGATGGGAATGTAAGTGGATAAACTGGGATTTATATAAGCAATACTGCGGGGAATACAACCAACAATCAATGGATTGGTTGATGGGATCGTTTACTGCAACTGTTTACTCCAACCAATTTTGTGAAGATAGAAAACTTGGAAATTTGTAAGATGTCAGGTAAAAATGGTATAAATATCATCTGCAGCCTCTTCTATTTTTCTGGGACCCATATATCTAGTTTCTCTTATTGTTGGGAAACACAGTTTTAATTTGTTGTGACGCGGCTTACCAACCCACTGTTCGCTCCACCACCTGTTTGCCATCTGGAATTGGATTCTTGGGGGTGCAGTTGAGGTTATACATGGGTATATAACCCTAGGTACAAGGGCAAAAAATACCACCTATGGTGGTTATATGTGGTTATTACACGAGTTATACCCATTTGTATAATGGATAACAAACATATGATAATAACCCAATTGATCGAATATCACCAGTTACCAAAGAAACGGAGGTACCAGTACCCCCAAGTCATCCAATATTTGACCATTTTAGTATTGAAACCCATGGTGACTTGGGGATCCCCCATTTTAAGAAACCTCCATGTGGTTTGTCTGAACATATGGTACCTGTAATCCAATGGTTTATCATCATTTTCCTTCCCTCTGAAAATGCGATTTTGGGGATATACTCTAGTCTCAAACCAACCAACCCAGGATACTAACCTACTCTCTTCGTTTTCCATCATTTTTCATATTCTTTTCCCCATGTTTTTCCCCCTTTTTCGTGACCTCCAACCAGGGACTTCCATCATCAAAAACCACCCAAGCAGTGCAGAACTCTCCGCCTATGCCCGTGGACGTACTCAAGCTGCGATGCGTGGCATAGAGCTCCGGGTTGCCGCGGAGGCAGGTGGCCACCAAACCTGGGGAGGCTGGGGGCACCTGTTTAAAGGTGGAAAAGTGTGGTGGTTTCAAGAAGAAATGACTGGTTGGTGGTTTCAACCCCTTCTGAAAAATATGAGTCAGTTGGGATGATGAAATATGGAAAGTCATAAATTTCATTTTCCAAACCACCAACCAGATGAGGATTGATTCAACCAAACCTTTGGAATTTGAGCAACACAGAATGGGATTGAACCAACCAACATCGGGATTTCAGCAACAAAAAATGAGGACTAAACCAACCAAAATAAGATCAACTGACAAACAGGGGGAATCAGGAGTTAGGTAACTCAACATTCGAAGATTTAAACTTGGGAAGCTGTGGGGTATAAATCTGGCCAAAGAATGGACCATTGACATTTTTGGGTAGAAAACCACTTGATCAGTACCCAATGAAGCTTGCTTGGTAGATTCAGCCTAGGGTTTCCAGGTTTACAAGATGAGTCTGTCTGAAAAGGAGGTAACTCCAAAATCTACATGATTTCCGTTCTTGATTGGTTAAACGGTCAATCCAGTGGTTAAACCAACACCACATCCCCGTTATGGTTGGCTTTGTACCACCATTCATTTCTGCTGGGTAAACTTTATTTTCTTTTGGCTAAATCCATATTCTTTTTCGATTGTTAACAGATTCAGCATAAATCCCAAGTGTCTTGTCGACGATATTTTTTCACCACCATTGGTGAGGAATCGTCTTTCTCCACAATCTTTGATGAATACGTTGGCCTTCGGCAGGCCACTGGTGGGGCCCAACGAAGCCAATTACGTCATGAGACGCACATAGTTGCTTGAGAACTCCTCGCCGCCACAAACTTCTGGCATAAGATAGAACCATATGAAAGCATATCTCTTAAATCTTAGATAACCAATACTGTTGTACTTTTGGTGATCATTTTGAATGTTGAACGTCGCTTTTCGTACATCTCAGCGTCCAAAAGCGCTCTGAAAATGGCGCCTTGTTTGTGTTTTTTGACTTCCAAAGGTGACACGCCGGAGTGGTGAAGTTTTTGATATTTGCACCTCCAAATCTTCTCTGCAACGTTTACTTCGTGTCCAATTGTAGTTCAGGCCGAGATGTCAACATGGCCCACGGCCGTGCATCCGGAAATTTGCCGATATTCTCCTGCATCTCTTCCGGGTCCGAGGATTGCTGGTCAAAAGGCACTCCAGGATCCGCTTCGCTTTCAGAAGACAATGGATTCACGCCTGGACTTGCGGCGATGGTTAGAATCACGCTCAGGATCTCGAGTTGGGCGACGTTGATTGCGACCGTCATCCGCTTCAACTAGCCAAATTGTTAACGGCAAAATCTCAACATTTCCATTTTTCTCACCATATCAAAACATTTCCCTACGAATTGCTGGTAAACCTGCCATTCAGTTTGTCATGCAGCCCATTAAACTAAATGTCATTAAATCCAAATAAATCATACACCATAAATCCCATTGAAATCCAATGAAAATCAACTTAATCCCCCATAAATTGCTGGTAAAATCCCCATCGCCACCGAGCCGCTGCAACAGCTGGAGATGTCAGGCATCTCTTCTGGGCAGGCACCCGAAAGCGGCAGCTGCCCAGGGTAGTCCAGGCCCATGCCTCGCGTGGGGGAAGCTTCCCAGGGTGGAACAACATGGGGGTAATCATGGGATCGTTAAGGGAACATCCTTTTAAAATGGATGACTGGTTTACGGTTTTGATGTGATTTTACAGTTAATAGTGGCTTAATCGTGGTTAATAATGGGATGATAATCTGGTTGGTAGTTTTACCCATCTTGAAAAATATTAGTAAGTTGGGATGACTATCCCATATATTATGGAAGATAAAAGCCATGCTTGAAACCACCAACCAGATAATGTTAGTTACAACAAATTTCCCATGATTTAGATCAAAGATGTGGGATCATCATGGAGATCATGTGATTGATCATGGTGAATGGTTGAGAATGGGTTAATAATGGGTAACGGGGGATATGTAACGGGAAACCCTTCGGTCTCATCAAATAAGGCTAGCTGGGCAATCCCCGAACTAAATGACTAAATGGAGGAAAACCATCGAGAGAAACGGGGATATTTTCGAGCAAAGCATGTTTGATTACCTGGATATGGGAGGGATTTAACCGTTGCAGTGGGATAACAATGTGGATAGAATGGGATATAATATGGGGATATATCCATGGTATGGGATATAATGATAACAATGATACGTATATATATATATATATATATATATATGCACATATATATATAATATATATATATATCCTTAATATATCATTTAACCATCGAATATGGGTTTTCTCGGGATTTACCAGCAATTTATTGATGATCATAAAAAACAGCATGGGATAGCCATTCAAACGGGAGTCATCATCTCTGGCAATGGAAGGCTCCACACCCATAGGAATTTGTCCCCAAAAAAGATGACAACCAAACCTACCCCAACTAAAAAACATTGACCAGGGTTCCAAATGTTAGATTTCAGTTGGCTCAGTTGCTCCCAAATCCTGCCTGGCAGCACTTCGAACATGGACTGACCTGTCAGAGCCGCCAATTCAGGGAGTTTGGACCTGTGTAAGATCATCCTTTAAGTCTGTAAAAAAATCATCCTTGAGATCTGCACCAAATTCTTTGGTAATTTCTTCGGTCACTCTACCACAAGATTTTTTCAGCATCCAAGTGACGATTTTGTTCCCGCAATCTAGCACTGAAAACCACAAAAGGTGGGATTTTGACGCCTATTTCTTCGGAGGGGCCTTTCTCCAGGCGCTGCTCGAGGTTCACCAATAAACTGCAGGCTTTGATCCAGGAGTTCATCATCTCCACCTGAAATCTCTGGAGTTTTTTCTCGAAAACATAGGGAAGGAAGGTAAAGGAAGCACAAGAGTCAGGGTTTGGAGCTGCTTTTATCTCCACCAAACATATCACTCGAGTTATCTGAAACAACCCGTTACGATAGGAACTAAATCCCCAGGCACCTCGGTGAGGCCCACGGCCGCGCTGCTGTGGATCTGCCACAAGTTGCCGCTGATGGCAGAAGTGCTGGAATCGCATTCCTCAGGGAATTTGAATGGGCGCAATATACTTTGCTATTGGCTTTATTTTCAAATTAATGGAGATCACTACAAGTTATGTAATGTACTAAAACTAACTATCATGTGTTGATATCAAAAGCAAGACTATACCAGGGGAGAAATACGAACCGAAGGTCTAATGTGAATAAGACTTGGTACAATGATATTGATAATAAAAAGAAAACATGGGGTGTCGTTGGACAAGAACAATTTAGGCATACCAATTTCAAACACTAATCTGATTGTTTATGAGGGGTGATGTTTCTCCGCCCTGAGAACGGATTCAACTCTAGGGGGTGTTAATGGATGTTAATGGTAAGGAAACTAACAAGAAATCATCGGGTTGAATGGAAGCAGTTCCAAGCTATTGATTCATAGGGGAGGGTGTAACTAACGGCGTTTAACGACGGTCAAATGCCAAATCTGGGACATGAATAAATCCCGGGGACACTTTGTAACGAACCAGCACATACACAGGGATACAAACCAAGAAACAACCTACAAGGGTGACCACATATGTCGTTTGGTGCAAAACAACTCAAGACACCAATCCGGGGTGTGCAAATCCACTTCCAACAGCCCCAGGGGACGACCATCCCACAAGGACCGCCCTGGCAGCCCAGAGTCCAAGTTCAGTGATTGGCAAAGGCTCACCACATCCACCTGCCGCTGGTAGGTGGAGATCCAAGTCTTAGCTCGTCCGTCTTGCGCCAAACAATGGGTAGCTTGATTTCCAGAAAAGGAGATTTCTTGACCACCCAATATGGTTAATATGGTTAGTTAACAACTATGCTTAATATATATGTATATATTCTTTAGTTGTCCTTTCAACAACTATCTTACAGTCTTGGTTCTGCCCCTTCAGCAAGGTCTTCCTTAAATCTTCCTCCCTCAGCGACATGGGCCCGATCCATTGGTACAAACACTTGGGCTCTGATCTTGGGTCCATAGTGGTATATAGGGGCCAAACAAAAAGGTTGAAAAGTGGTTTCCACAATTTTGATCCCTTTTTCCATCTTTTTGAAGATCAGTTATGAATTCGATGCTTTACACATTTATACTCTCACCTTACTGGTGCTTAGCAGGGAATGGATGGGAATGGGGGAATGGGATGATTATTACTAGTGATTATGGATCATTCCCTCATTCCCTGCTAAGCACCAGTAAGTCACTTTCCCCAGCAAAATTGCCCCATTCCCAACTCCCACCGCATTGGCCAAGCGCGGAATGCGCAAGGTCATGGTCACCCGCAGGGCCGCGCCAAGGCGGGAAGGGTCACTGGTGACCCAGCCGTGCCTCAGTTCATCATGGTCCCGACTAAAATGATCTAAAACGGCAACTAATTGGTGGTATACCTACCCCCCTCAAAAATGTTCCAAACCACCAACCAAGCAAGTTTGGAGGTATGCCAGGTTTTCAGATCTAGATGGGTTATAGGGCTTACTGTACTTGTGCAAAAAAATGGAACAAAAGGTTTTAAACCGAATGTTGGGGTGCCGATTTTGGATATGGATCTGGCGAGTATGGGGTAGAGTAGAGCTGGTGTACGACTAGAATCCACAGCATTGGCAATTTGTAGCAATAAAGCCACACATTTTGGGGAGAACATACCCCTGCGGCACCAATCAGCTGCTCATCTCTTCGTCTCAAGGCATTGGTGAGCCCTAAAGTCAAATTGAGTTGGAGTCATGATGTGCAGGGTTTTCCTGAATTGGTGGACAGGAGCATGAGGCCTAGTTCAGGAAATGCTGCTGCTACTGCATTCAATAATGAAGATGCCGCAGCTCTCATCTGGCACCTCTTCGAATCCCGCGGGGCTTGACCCACAGCCTGAACCAAGTGTACCCCAAACTTGGCCTGTTTGTCACCCAGAGTGTTGCTCACTTTTTTCGGTCCTACAAGGTTGACCAAAATGGCCAACCTGAGGACTTCGCACTGGGCATGTCCTGTCGTCTCCTTTGACAACTCTCTGATCATCTCCTGGCGCACCTGCAATGGGTCGGAGCCCATATAGCTAAACTCGGCCGGCACATCTATGCCGCCGGTGTCGCTAATGGCGCGAACCATCGCCTCAAACGATTCGATGGGCATCTCGCTGGCAAGGTGCCACCAATAGGTGGCAGGATGGACCTGTTCTGTGACGAACAAGTCCAAGCTGAATCTTAAATTCACTTGTTGAGAGCACAAGGCCTCTCCTTTGCCCGACCGAGTACGATCCTTAAAATACTCTGCCAAGCAAACAAGAATTTCAGAGCACAAGAATCGCCTCCAGTGCACACTATGGAGATCTTAACCAGTAAACATGAGTATTGCAACAGAACATGGGGATATTTACAAGCAACAAATGGGAACATATGGATCTATTGTAACCAACTGGATAAAGAAGCCGTAGATCCACAACTGTGAAATTTTCACAACAACACTTGGAATCTACAATCAATCCACCACACCCTGGTCACTAAGTCGCACATTCTTGAGACAACATCGCAGTTGTGGCTCGGTTGTCATGGTACCTCCAAGCATCCTCTGGATTTTTCTTACATGGCTGACTGGAAAGTATCATCTTCAATGGGAACATCAGTTTTTGAGAGAGTGATCGTCCACTCAGGTAAACGGCACCATGAATTCTCGCCCAAACAGGGACTCAAATGGTTAGAGGTTCGCCTAAATAGACACAATGCTAGATTTTTCCGGAAGCACGTGGTATGTTTGAACCATCACCCATGGCAAAACTAAGGATGCCAATTTTCTTCACTTTCTGGGGGATCGACTTTGTTCATCCCTGCATGGCCATGCCGAGACACCGTGGCGAGGATGCGAAACCGCACCTGGCAGAGTGTTAAGCGAAGGAAGTGCCAAGAATGGAATGGTGGCTACCCTTCAGCTGCACAGTGATTTTCTGGGAATTCCCATGGATATTTTGCATATAGCTGGTTCATGGCCCCAAATATGGTAAATTCCTAGGTTTTGGATGCAACAATAAGTTGAACTCTCTGGGGTTGAACCCAAAAAAAAAAAACGATTCTGGGCGAATTAAATGGCCGAACTTCATAACACAATCATACACCATTTACCCAAAAAGTTACCTTTCTTGGGGATGAAAAACCACATCGCTGCCCTAACAAACAACAAAATGTTCGTGGGTTAACCCTGCAATGGATTTCATGGCCCATTACATGGTGGTTTTCTCGATGCTAAGTCACCAGAGAGTTAAAAACCATTATCCCAATATATCCCATTAAAATACCTATGGCAATGTGTGTAAAACAATGTCATAAACCACCCATTTGGGAATGTTTTGTACCACCTATTTATGGTGATTTGGGGGATGGCTTATTATTGTTTTACCCACATTATTCAAGCTTATTCGCATTTTTATCCATATCCCTCCACCACCTGAACCTATAGCCGACCCCCCAAGGGTACCTCTCGCCATCAGCCACAGTGGTGGCATCTGCCACGCTGCTCATGGCTTTCACCAAACGTTCGTAGAGATGCTTCAGCTCCTGGGTTGGGGAGGTGAACGGAAAAGAGGTCTAATCAAGGTGTTTGAAAAAAAACAACTAAATGTTTTTAGGCACCAAAATGGAATTCACTACGCGCTACCAACAAAAATGGGGCGTCAATCACTGCCAATCATGAGATAAAATTTGAGCTGTTCGAGTTCGAGTCCATGGCACCTATGATGGCAGATGTCCATGCCCACCGATCGGATTCATAGATTCTTCACATCTGAGGATGGATGTTGATGGCGGTTACCCTCTGGTAAACTTTTACATAACTATGGAACATCACCATGCTATTACTGGGGAAACTCACTATTTCTATGGCCATTTTCAATAGCCTTTTGTATGTTTACCAGAGGGTAAACTGTGCTTACCCTTTGCACGCGAAAGTGATGTTTGGGGGATGATTGTGGTTTTCTGCACTTTACATGGTCAAAATCTAACCGGTTTCGCGGGCGGTACTAGAAATACAGCAACACAACAGAAAGACAAGACTATGTATCTATGTATCTATGTATCTTACTTTGTGTCTATGTTTGAGTAGTCGGGTGCTGGCTACAGCCTGTAACCTCTGTAATCATTGAAAATACAAAACATACAAAAAATACAAAACCAAATTACAAAAAATGCCACACTGAGGGGGGCAAAATCATCAACAAAAGGGAAATACAACATACATTGGTGGATTCGCGGTTTTGTTCTTTGACGGCATGTCTAAAGAACGAAAAATACAAAAGGACAAAGTGCAATCTGTGAAGGAATGGAAAAATACAAAAAAAATACAAAAATACAAAGTGCATTTTTGGAAGTAATGGAAAATACAACAAAAGTACAAAAATACAAAGTGTATTTTTTGTAATTTGACAAAAAATGCAAAATAAATACGAATGCAATCTCAAACATACAACAAAATACGAACCAAAAGTTTCAAACATACAAAATACCAAAAAAAGTACAAATTCAAACATGAACCAGAGAGCCAACCCCATGTTCATTTTGAAAAGCAAGAACCCACTTGCAAAATAAATGCAAAACCAACCTGTTGTATTTTCTAAACCATGCAATTCAGATTTTGTATTTTTGAGTTGTATTTTTTCGTATTTTTTGTTTTTAATTCTTTACAGAAGACCCTTTTGTAGCCAATGCAGACTACTCAAGTATATGTATCCATGCATCTATATATCAACCAATCCATCAAACCATCTATCCATCGATCCTTCCATCCATCCCTCTATATTACGACTCTCATATCACCTCATCTACCCCATTGTCACCGAACAACTTCCTCCCCCACTTCCTGCTTCAGCTCAAAAGCCAAGATGCACAGCCCTCCTGGCGGGCGAAGAAGCGAAAGTGGTCCTCTTCGTTGACCCAGATGTAGGTCCCCGGGCTGTCCTTTGGGTCAGCGGATGGTGGCAACAATGGGTGGATGGGCCACAAGAGTGGGCTGCAAAAGTGGCTGTTGAGGTTTGGCCACAACAAAAGCTTTCCCAACGAACATTTGGGAAAGCGCTAAAGGAATGGGGGACAAATTCTACTGGGTCGTCCACAAATTGAAAAGGGTTCTGTAGTCCATTGGGGATGTGAAAAGCGGCCCATGTAGGTTTTGTCCCGTACCCACATTGGCGCCGATGGTGGCAGAGGTAGACAGGGGCGCATGGGATACTGGGAGAAGATGAAGTATCCTTCACTTTGGCTTGTAGAAAAACAAGGGAAACTTTTGATCTTTCAATGATATGCCTGCAACCATTAGATTGTTTATACAGTATCTACTTTCTGAAGCCGGGTTTCGTGGGGAACCAAAGCGACCCTCGTCCCTCAAAGGATCATCTTGGTGGCAGCTGCCACATGTTGCCAGAATCCAAGCACAGTGATAACCAATCACTCCAACAATCTGACAGAATTTCCAACGTGCAGGGGACATTGGCATCCCAATCTTAAGTGGCAATCGGGCCTCTATCTTGCATCATACCCCCCATCAAACATAGTTGACATTTTCCATCTTCCCCATTCGCAAGCAGTGTCACCCATGGTGGTGTGTTCAACCAAGCATCGCACACGAAAACACCCCGGGCATCGGGCCAGTGACGACCAAAGCCCGCAGCCAATTTGATCTTGGAATCGGGCTCCGTCAACAGCATTCCAACCTTGGCTGTGATTCAAACATGGATGCGGGTCTCTGGAGGGATTGTTGTTGAGGACTACAGCAGGCTTTTCTTTGGTTTCTAAGACGGCTAGCTTCCGACCCCGTCATGCAGTTCATGAGTGATGGCAAATGGCATATGTTTTTCCCAGCCATGCAGTCATTCGAAAACAAAACAAAACAAACAAACTTGGGGAGATAACTATGAATCAAAACCCGATCAGTACTCTGGCGAACCACGGTATAACATGGCATAACCAACCCTGGCATGAATGGGATGTTACCTTATTCACCGGGACTTGATTGAAAATGCCATCTAAGCATGCAGTATTCCCCATAGATCGCCTCAATAGTGGTTGTACCCATGGGAAGACAACACAGCCAGTAACGCTTCCAACCATCCAGGCCGAGGAACTTTGCGGAGCCTTTCCTCCTGATAGGCCGCCATTCCAATGGGCAGTGCAGGGCAACTCTTTGAACTACCTGAGGGCGAACGGTCCCATGGTGCGTGGTAAATCATCCAGCGGTATATACTGACAGACTCAAAGTTAGAATGACGGATTGGAACGCCAAAATTTTTTCAGGCCAAGGTTAGAATGACATGAAACGGCATCAGAGTTAGAACCACATACGAAAAAAAGCGCTAACTTGGGTGAATTTTGCATGGGGCAAAAACGACATTCTAACTCTGGGCGGTATTTCCTACCAGGCTCATTCTAACTCTCAACGGGGTACATGCCCGTGATGCAACAAAGATTATTCAATACAAAAAACATCATGCAAAACAAGTATATGTTCATGTATATACTTCATGAACATGTATATAGTTAATTACTTAAACATCATGTGGGTGAGGACGTATTCGCCAACTCAACTCAACATACAACAAAAAGTACACATTCTAACTTTGGGGCCTCTTTTTCTCTGAAATGTGCACTATGTGCACCCAGTGGAGAAGTAAAACTAGACCAAAACAACGTCCTGTGCAAAAAAATATGAGTATATGTATATATATTTATAAGTATATATGTATGCATGCATTCGCAAGTGTATGTACTTGATGCAATGTGTGTACATATATGTACATGTGTATATATATGTATACCTATAGACCTATATGTATGTTATATACATGTAGTCAAATTCCATAATCAACCGTCTGGAAAATAAACGAACAGCTATCATGGACCACATTCTAACTTTGGGCCCCAAGTGCCCCTTATTGCAGCAACGTCTCACATGCTGAGAAACTGAGAGCAGGTGACATACAAATGAAATCCGAAACAAAAAAAAAGGAAGCATTGCATCCCAGCGCTGATAGTCCGCGCCTTTTTTCCCTTCCCCAGTTGATCAATTGACATATTGTACCGGGACCGGCACGAGTTTCGATCCTCCGCGGGAAAGCCACACATTGATACAAACATGTACAAATAGATATATATATATATATATTGCACCTGTAAATATATATATATGTATATATATATACAGTATATATATATATATATGTGACTTGTGGCTTCCCAAGACCGCTTTCTGTACACCAGGGGATTCATTTTCCCTTCCCCAGTTGGTCAATTGACATATTGTACCGGCACGAGTTTCGATCCTCCGCGGGAAAGCCACACATTGATACAAACATGTACAAATAGATATATATATATATATATGTGTGCATGCATGCATACGGCCAGTGTAGATGCACATACAAAAAAAAATATCTATATATACATAGAAATAAGCTATATAGCATGCACCTGTAAATATATATGCAGTATATATATATGTGTGTGTGTGATTTGCGGCTTCCCAAGACAGCTTTCTGTACACCAGGGGATTCACAGCTTTGCAATGGTCAAGCTGATTTTTTGCAACTTAGTCTGTTGAGCAGCCCAGATCTTGTCTCTGGGGTGCTGGTTGCAATGTCTCTCCACAAGCCCCTGAATTACTTGAAGCAAAGCCTCACCAGCAGTCCTGTTGGTTCGCCCTCCGTGGGTTCGAGTCAGGCCTATTGATTTTCCTTCCCAATACCCCTGCCACGTGCGAGACGTGGCATGGTATCCGAGCAAAGCACCTGGTGGGATGTCAGTGCCCCCACGCGCCTCTAATGCTCTCCATTCTTCACGGTGATTGAATGTCTTGACTCGGCTGAAATGCGTGGCGCACTTCTTCACGGTTTCCTCTTCGGAGCTGTAGTAGAGAATTTCCTCCGCGTCACTAGCCTCATCAGCCTCCACCATCTCCATGTGCTCCTGCTCTTGCAAGTCAGCTTCATCAATCTCATGCACCCCCTGCTGCTCTTCACACTCATCATCTTGATCATCCTGGTCATCGGCGATGTCATCCGATGCGAGCGCGGCAACCGCTGCATCTGCAACACCACCTGCCAAACCATCTGGCACTGATTCCTCTGAAACAGCTTCACACTGCAGTAGAACCAAACGTTTGGATTCACCGCTAGCACCTTTCAGTGCAAGCTTGGATGAATCACCCGACATCAGGATCTGGATGCTAAACAAATCCTTCTCCCTTTTTCGTAGCTCTGCGTGGGATTGTAATTTGACGACCTGCTTCCTTGTCTTTCTGCAGAACAGCATGTGGACTGCAGACTTCTCCTTCACGAAATGGTCGTACTTCTGCTGCGCAGCAGGAGGCAGCATTTTGCCAGCCTTACCGCGCGTATCGATTTTTTGCTGCCACTTTTGGTTTTCCTGAGCCCACCAGGTCACATGCTTCTCCACGGGACGGCACAACCAAGGTGGCAACGGCTGTCTGGTTGACGTGTCTTCACCGTCTTGAACTACCCATGTCATGAGCTTCTCTTCCTCCATTGGAACATTGCGCAAAGCATCCAGTTGCTCGCTTTCACCCTCCTCAAGGCTCACGTCAGCGCTTGAAGTGTCCACCAGTGTCAGCAAGGTCTGAAAAGCATACCGCTGACGCTGCATGCACTCTTTCATTGCTTTTAGATTGCCTAGGGTCGAGACTGCGAGCTACATATACACACACATATATATATATATGTATATATATACACGTTTAAAAAGATACTTTTCCTATAAATTACACACACGTCGGATATACATGAGTGCTTGCAAGTGTCTATATATATATATATTTAAAGACATGCATCATCTATGTGCATATATATATATAAATGCAGGCATCGTCGAATGTATGCATCATATCTGCGGATAAACACCGCATGTGCATGCGTGTGCATGCACCAATTGAGGCCAAGAACCATCAAATCGCCAATCCGCAATGTTCTTTTCTGTGACCAAACCACGCGAGGGCCATGCGTACCAAACAAGCCTTCCGGACCTGTCGCCAGATAGAGATGGGACACATTCTAACTCTGGGATGTATTTCATGTGATATGTCGACATTTGCACGCACCTGGGCCCCCAAAAATGCATTTATAGATATATAAAGCCGTATGTACATAATTATATGTATATATATATATATATATAATAAATATAAATATATATATATATATGTGTTGACGATATTGGTTGAGAAGTGTCAAACAGACTGAAATGCTTGAACTCTTTGTTCAACGTGAGCCCAAAGAAGATGAGCACAGATCAAATCAGCGATGTGGATACATATCTCAAAAAGGGTTCCCATTTTGATGCAGAAATGCGCACAAAATATAAACAGTGAACCTGCTTTCAACCCAAGCAGCTGAAAATTGTTGAGACTCTCCAATGCACAGGCATCTCCCCGCAACGATGTCAAAACGGATGACCTGAGCACGGGCATCATTCAAACCTGCGCATGGTCAGGGAGAACACATGCATAGTTCAAGAAATCGAAAGACAATACATGTACATAATTACATATGCATATATACAGTGAATCAATTTTGACATTTACACTTGCATGCATATGAGTCCGATTCACAAATAGACATACAACACATAGGTGTGCAATGATAAGCCTGTGCCCTTCTTGCTGCAAGAACCTGCGAAGTCTATATTCACACAGTGTATATATGCATCTGTGCATAATTACTGTGCGTATATATATATATAAAGGATACACACATAAAGTGAAACAATAATTGCAAGCTAGAAGGTACCGAGCCACTTTGTTGACACAGAGGATTGCACCGACATATTCAGTTCGTCCAGTTTCCGTCTCAAGTCCAGGCTGGTGCTCCAATCTACTTGTGACTTGCAGTAGGCAGACACCAGGGAATGTAGATGGTTGTGCCAGCCGTCATTTGGCTGTCCTGATGCACCCCAGCCTCCGGGGATGCTGGGGAGTTGGTTTCCCTCAGCATCACACCCGGAGGCTCCCGTCAAGAAGACCTTGGTTTTGCTGGCTGGCCTGGCCTCATTCTAACTCTCATTCTGTAAAACAGGTTTTGCGCACGTATATGTGTATATATGTAAAGGTACCTGTGTATGTATGTATGTATGTATGTATGTATGTATGTGTGTATGTATGTATGTATGTATGTATGTATGTATGTAAACCGCATTTACGCATGCATATATTTTTATATGCACATATCTTTGCATGCACATAGATGCATATATACACAGATATGCAGGTTTATGTGCACGTATGTGAGTGTTCGTGCTCCAAGGGTCTCAGAGTTAGAATGACTACATGGGAGTTGATCTGTGCGCTTGCACACATTTGTATAGATATATCACCTATATAAGTATCTATATATGCAAGCACAGGGTACCACAAACCCACATAGGTGCAGCCACAGTGGCCACATTGTTTTGCTGGCACCAAAGCTTGCGAAGCGCTGCGAATTGCTTCGCGGAGTGTTGACTGGCACAGTCGGCCAAGATGAGCCCCCTGTCTGCAAGAGACAATCCAAGGGTTCGCCGACGGGCCCTGATTTCTTCTGTCAGGAAGGAAAGGTAGCTTAACATTGTCTCAGATGTCCAGATGTGTGACCTGGCTTGAAGTGGAGCCACAAATATCCATCGCTTTAGCTCCTGCAGGCATTCTAACTGTGAAGGCCAAAAGCAACAGTTACTGAGAAGGTGACTCTATAGTCAGTGACAGAAAACATATATAGCGATGACTGTGGTAGATATATGTACGTATGTATATATATATATACCTCTATATATCTACATGGACATGTATATATATAGTAAATATACATATATATATATATGTATATATACAAATGAGTATATATACAAAACGCATTATATATATATACCTAGCTTTTTTTTGCGTGGTCCCGCCTGGTTGGCTACCATGCGCTGTGCCTCTGTGAGACAATCTTCTCTGACCGAAACAAAACCACGGCCTACAGTGCCATCATTCCACGAGAGTGATGTTAATGTCCGCGGCGTTCGCCAACTCTCCACAGGGCATTGCGCCGCTTTCCCACCAGTCACAGATGGGACCACTGCATGTGGATCTTCATCGGGCCCAAAGCTCTCGGTCAGCTCCATGCCTAAGCTGCGTTCCAGCACATGCCGAACCCGTCTTTTGTATACACTGGTGGACCACTCATCCACTTTGGCCCTGGTTTGCAGGCATCGGCGGGAAGGCCTGTACAGCAGGCTCCAGGTTTGGTCGAAGTTTGCAACCAAGCGTTCGTTGATTTTCCCGCAATCGATCTGGTAAGCTACCCAGGTGATGATTTTTTGCACTGCTGGATGCTCAAACTCCAGGTGTTTACCTGGTTTTGGGTTGGCCCTCGAAAGGAGGCCAGCTCTCCGGCAAACACGCTCGGCTGTTTTCCTTGGAAGGTGGTTGCTACCAACACCATAGCCAATCCAAAGTTAGAATGAGTACATATATACTGTACCCTGATATGCCCCTTGGTTTTGCCATACGTAAATAAATATGTGTATATATATATATATACATATACATGTGTATATATATATATATACATATATGTGCGTCTACTATATACCACCACCCTCTGATTGACATGTGCATGTTCATGCATTAAAAATAAAGACTGGTTTTTTTTGGGACTGCACCCTATATATATATATGATTCATATGCTTTGCCAAACCAGTTCAAAACTTGATCTAAAGAAAACACCAAGATTCAGCAAATTTCCCTCAGTGGTCTTGAGCCGCACAGTAACCAAGGTGTCCAGCAAATCCTTCTGAATCGCCTCAACCTTCTGGTCCAAACTGCCACCATCAGGTTCCATGCGGGCTTCCAACATAGAGAGTAGAGTCTGAGGGTCCTCCACTCGCGGCCGAAGTTCTTTGACAGCATGATTCCATTGGTCTATGGCAATCTCCAGCACGTCAGCGGGATAACGAAAGCACACTTCTTCCCCCAGATGAATCCTCTCAGCCTGTCACGGGTAGGATGGCTTGACGGTCAAAACGAAACACAATGTCTGTGCACTATTTGCACATACATACATACATACATACATACATACATACATACATACATACATACATACATACATACATACATACATTCCATACATCCATACATACATACATACATAAATACATACATACATATATATATATACATATGCATATGTATGCATATATGTATATATGTATATATATGTATGTATGCATATATATATATATATACATGTATGAAGATAGCATATCCACAATATGCAGTTGTGGAAGTCCAAAAGGTGCGGGCAAGACACTATGGAATCCGTCACCGCATTCTCCAGCTCCGGCGGAAGCACGCTAGTCACATTGTTGAGACTCAAGCCCTTTGGGGTCCTTGTCGAAAACTTCTCCTTCTTTCCCAGAACCCTTCTGAGGAAACCTGGCAGTTCCTTGCAGGATTTAGCAACCTTGGGACATGCTTCGCAGAGAAATGACCATTTCTCCGTGGAACGTGTCTTCTTCCAACGGTACATACACGACCGGAAATAGCCACGTAGCTTGAGTTCTTCCACTTTCTTGGCTGGATACTTGACGGCAGGGTCCGCTTTGAATTTGTCATAGGCTTTCATCCTGAATGACAAATCAAGGGGGCAGCTGCAAAACCCCAAGAAAACAGAGGCACTGCATGTGTTTTCTGATGTGCATGTGCATGTACCCATGCATGCATGTATACATATCTATGTATACAAATATGATTCATATGTATGTATGTATGTATGTATGTATGTATGTATGTATGTATGTATGTATGTATGTATGTATGTATGTATGTATGTAATGTATGTAATGTATGTAATGTATGTAATGTATGTATGTATGTATGTATGTATATATGTATGTATGTATGTATGTAAACCGCATTTACGCATGCACATATTTTTATATGCACATATCTTTGCATGCACATAGATGCATATATACACAGATATGCAGGTTTATGTGCACGTATGTGAGTGTCTGTGCTCCAAGGGTCTCAGAGTTAGAATGACTACATGGGAGTTGATCTGTGCGCTTGCGGATGATTATATATATATATTTATATCTATATATATAGTTATATATGAACTTTATTTACATATTGCAAATATATATATATGTATATATATATGTATTTATATATATATACATGTATATATATATATGTATATATATACACATACACACCAAAAACCCATTGCAAAAGCCGACTAAGGCCCTGACACTTGCTCCTTCTCCCAGATTGAAGCCACCGCAGACTTTCCGTGTTTGTTGGTCTTCCTGCTGTCCACGTTGGCCACTTTCCGTTTGTAACGGCCCCTGTAGCTACCTTTTGGCTTCTTGACCACCTTCCCTTGCTTCTCAACATCTGACTGTGGAGTTTTGCGCTTCAGCCTGTAACGAACCACCGCTGTTGCCTGAACCTGGCTGGCTGCACCCTCAAAGTTCATTGAAGCGGTGGCTGGCTGACCCAAAGCCTCCCATGCTCCCGGTGTGCAAGTGAAGATCGTCATCAAAACCGCTTGACACACCGTGGAGGAAAAAGAGTTGCCAGCGATGTCCTGGGCTTGGGTGGTGAGCTCCGCATATGCTTCCTCATTGAAGCATGATCGGAAAAGGCCTTGACAGTTCAAGATCTCATCAGGCAACAAGAAACGGTGGAAGCGAGTGGAATAAATACCATGACTGGGCGTCAAACACGGAAGGACGCCATCACCCATCATTTGCCATTCCACCGAGCTGGAACAATCGATGAAGACATTGTCAGAATATGGATGCTTTTGCTTGGCAAGCTCCATCAAGGACTCAAGGCGAGAGCTGTTTGGGGCAACCGGTGGGGCTTCCAACTGGAACACCTTGTTCACTGGGAAGTGGTAATTGCCTTGAAGACGGCCAAGGGTGGTTTTGTAATGCTCCTCCATTGCTTTGACATCATCCTTGCCAGTGATCAGAAACGCCAATCCCCAAACACGATTGCGTCTCTGAGGTAGGAGGTAGTACTGTGTGTCCAAGAGTTGCCAAACCTGAGCACGCTCCCGTATGTGCTTGTTTGCATGTGCGGTACATAGCAAGTATGCATATATATATACTATATATATATAGGTATTTATATATATATATACACACATATGTACATATATATATATATGTATATATATATATATACATCTGTGTGTCCAGCTTGAATGGGAGTCTCTGACCACAAATTTCAATCCAAGAAGCAAAACCATAGCCGAGCTCGCGCATATGCTCGTAGACGACCTGGTGGGGCCGGTATGTACTTGCATGTATGTATGTATGCATGTATGAATGTATATATACACATGCATGCATATATATATATACATAGATACACATATATACACTGCACATACATGACATGGAAATTTCATGTCCGTGCCCACCCAACCTCTACGGGCGGATCTTTGACTTTCTTGGTCTTCTTGTCTTTGGTTTTCAGCGTGGCGCCCCGCACGTTCTCATACACCGCAAAGATGGGCTGCAACACCTCGATGGCCTGCCAAGTGATTGTGCAGATTGGGTACCGAAAACAGCTTTTACACCGGTATACACACATGCACAAAACATATTCACAATATATATATATGTATATATGCTGGTTGTATTGGCACATCAAGTAAAAATTATATATATATATATTTATTTATGTGTGTGTATGTGCATGCATCTATCTATATATATTTAATTTTGTATATATATATACATATATATATACATATATATATATGTTATATATATATGTTATATATATAGATATGTTGTGCCTCATGGCCAGGTTGCCATGCCATCATGAAATAATTCAAAAGTGTGACCAAAGATAGAATGCCCACCCCAAAGAGCCTTCCGAAAGCCAAATTTATATGTTGGCCCACTGGTGCCGGTCAAGTCTTCCCCATCCCCATCACCAGTCTCGTAGCAGCCAGCGAAGCTGGCTCGATCATGTTTCAGACCGCTGAGATCTTTGCAAGAGGGGCCTGAGATCAGCACATCAATTCCCATAGTCTTGCGGCTAACCTCATGGTATCGGTTGCAGACAAAGCACCACCCTCTGCCCTCCTCGAACACGGAAACATTCTCAAATAGGTGATTGACGTCGGGATGTTGGAGGAGGAGCAATCTCCGTTTGTCCTCCTCGAGTTCCACCGCAAAAATGTGCTGCACCTCAATGCTCAAATCCTGACAAGATTTCAGCCCCACTGTTGCACACAGTGTATGTGTATATATATATAGATAGATATGTGCGAATTTATATACTATAAGTATATATATATATGTGTGTGTGTGTGCACCTTCCTGCTGCTTGTTGTGCCCATACAAATATTTTCACTCTCACATTACATACATAGCTGCGCACCAACAGCCACATGCATACATGCATATCTGCAAATCGTATCATATCATACATGCATATGATTTAATAATTTAATATCATACATTCTTGGCTGAGCAGGTCCTGAGTTGCATTGAAATGCTCCACAGTCTGTCTCAAGACTGTGACACAGATGTCGCATCCCGAGCAGGTAGTCCCCACACGCAATGTCTTGCCAGACAACTTGCGCAACTGCTCCATCAACTTCTCTTGAAATGATGCCCCTCCGCGCTGAAAGTAATATTCAGCTGCCTCTGCAAGAGATAGGTCGGACGGGCAATCGTGGTTTGTAGCCGGGACGCTCTTTTTCAAAGAGCTCAGCTTGAACGGTCTGTTTCGAGCAATTGAGCTCAGAACCTGCAGGTGGATGGCTTCCGCAAATGGAGTGAAGTCGCCAAAGCTCCATGTCCACAATGTTTTGCATCGTGCTCTGAGATCCTTTATGATGCGCTGACTGTAGACCCTCAATAAGTTTTGGTTTTGGTGGGCCATCTTTACCTGATTGCACCTTGTCAATGTCACTGACCCCACCAGGTAGTATCCATCGTTCATTGGCGCCGCTAGGGCTAGCTTACCTTCCACACCTTTGTACGGCCTCAGAAGAGACCGTCCACCCTTGAGACAGCCCTGCCATTCCGATTCACTGAGGGTGATGCAAGTGTCTGTAGGACTTAGACACCTTTGTGCCAGAGCCACGGAAAAATCAACCTCCTGAACTTCAACCATGTCAGTGGGCTCGGTGTCCGTATCCAGTTTGGGCTTCTTACCCGGCTGCAGTGTGCACACTGATGTGGAGTCAGTCAAGCTATCCGATGTGGTGGACCGCTTCAAACTCAAATTGCTCTTGGAACGCACGGGGTGACAAGAGTCCTGGAAGGAGGCTGGGGGCAGCATTCTAACTTTGGGCCCCCAATTGTGCAAAAGGACAGGCATGCACACATTTCTTCATGTGTTGGGCATGTCTGAGGGTATCCATTTGTAACGAAATAAAATGAATATATAATGTGTATATATATATAACATATTTATGCACATTATATATATATATACATATGTATAAACATATATATATATATACATATACATCAAGTACATGTGTGCACCTTCATATATGTATATATAAATATATACATACTCTTTGCAGTTGACAAATGCCGGGGGTCCTGTAGCAAATCACCAGGGCCGAGATATGTCCAGGAAATCGTGCCCGGCACACTGCGCACTGGGATTGGAGGGTCAAATTTCTCAACGAGCTCCAAATGCCAGGCCCATACGTACTCTAAGTCTTCTGCTGGAGACCAATTTTCCAAAAGGAATTGGAACTCATCGGTGGACGTCCTGTGTAAAGAAAAGTACCGTTGGAAACTGCTACATTTGATTCTGATGTTGCCCTCGAATTGCAGCATGGCAGTCACCTGACGCCTTCCGCCCAATTCACTGGGGGAACTGACCAACAGAATCTTGTCCCCTTCGCTCAAAAATTTGATTGGTTTGGACCTGATCTCGTAGACTTTCCGTTCTTCCTCCGACTCCAAAAATCTTCGGGCAAAATTCTCTTTCACTACAAGACCGCATGCCTTGCCCTCCTCATTCTTCTTGGCACCTGCCATGGATGCCCACGCAGCAACGGTGGCACCCGTCGCAAGTGGACTTTCCTCCTTCAAAGCCAGGCAAAAGTCACAAATACCGTTTTGCAATATATGTATATAAGACAGGCATGTGCCCGTACATAATAAATATATATATATATATGTATATGTATATAAATTGTTTTTTTGCGATGCATGCATTGTATATATATATATGGTATGTATCAAGTATACATTCACGTGTGTTCATATCTTAACGTTACCGCTCTGCCTTTCACACATGCACCCACAGTGCTTTGCCCGTGCAGGTGCACTCAAACACATGCACGTACACGCACACACACATTTATATACGGTGTGATCATGAACCATATGAGACATATGTTCAAATTTCTCCAGACTCCTGCTTTGCTTCTGTCTCTTCATTCCTCGCCTCCGGCGTGGTCTCCTGGTTGCGGACTGACGACCGCAGACAATTGGATGGACTCTATATATATAAATGAATGTTTAAATCAGTATATATATGATATATATAATATAAATATATATATATGTATATATATATATACGTATATATATGTATATCATGTGTGAGTGCCCTTATATGTTTAGAAACTGATTCAACCTGGCTGCATCAGTGGCCCAAGCCCCTGAACCATCAGTCCTGCTGCTGGGGGGCTGGCCACGGCTCAAGCTGAAGTGCGGTTTTGCGATCCTGGCAAAAAACGACGAGCAGAAAATGATCGGTGAAAGTGGCTGATGGATCACATTCTAACTCTGGATGCCCAAATGTTGTCCTACTGGAAAACTGCAGCAGCCCGCCACACCTGCAAACAAAATCACACCTATATCTTTATATACGTAGATGTGTGTGTATATATGCAGGTGTACGTAGTATATATGTACACATTTGTGTTTGCACATACACATGCACACGTATATATAATACATATATATATATATCATAACATTTGTCGTCAGCTTTACGGAAGTCGGGTTGAATTGAATGTGTGCATGTTTCAATGTCCATGGGTCATTGCAATATAAATATTCAGCCGTATATATATAAATACAAATGTACAAATAGAAATGCTTATATATATATACATACATATATGTATATATATATACGTAGATATATGTATACGTATATATATGTATATCATGTGGGGAATGCCCTTATATGTTTAGAAACTAATTCAACCTGGCTGCATCAGTGGCCCAAGTCCCTGAACCATCAGTCCTGCTGCTGGGGGGCTGGCCACGGCGCAAGCTGAAGTGCGGCTTTGTGATCCTGGCAAAAAACGACGAGCAGAAAATGATCGGTGAAAGTGGCTGATGGATCACATTCTAACTCTGGATGCCCAAACGTTGTCCTACTGGAAAACTGCAGCAGCCCGCAGTTGATCAACTTTCTATGCTGCTCACATCTGCGCTCAAGAACGCACACACACAAACATATGTGAGCATATTTACGCATGCATACATAAATTTAAATAAAGAAATATATATATACATATATGCACACATATTTTCTCATATATATATATATATACATGTACTGCACATACATTTTTTTTGACAGTCAGTGCTTGTTGGCCTCATCCTAACGCTTTTTTTTTCGCGCAGGGGCTGTCTGTAGCGGGTTCATGTGTCCCGCTGCTTGAAACTGTCGGATTTACCATTACATGTCCATCTCCCCCATGCCTCATCATCACTGCTGTCAACTTGGATGGGATTCACGCCTGGTTGGTGGTAGCTGAGCTTTTCCAAGCCCTTTTCCTGCCAACCGTCATCGCCACTAAGCTGGGACGGTTGTGATGGCCGGGACGATTGTGATGGGCTGCGGCGGTTGTATGACCATGGTTCCCAACGGTAGCTCCAATCACGAATGCCCTTTGAGGGATGGAAGTCCTGGTAGTTTCCCTTGAGCCCTTTCTGTAGGTTTCTCTCTGACTGGTAATTCTTCTTTTCCTCGGGCCTATCATGCTTCAAGCTCTGCTTCCAGCTCCCATGGTGCTGCTGTTGACTCATCTGGCGCTGGCCACTGCTCTGGCTGCCACCTGCTTGAGCTGCTTTGGGAGTCTTACTTTCATTTCTCTCCGGGGTGACCGGCCGCTTAGCCAGCTTAGCAGCCCGCCCATATGGAGACTCAACTGGGTCAACACGACGAGGGTGCATCGCTCACAGCGCATGAAGAAAAACCATGTGTGGATATGGTTTGGCCAGCAGATCGGCTTGGGCCAGCAGAACGGCGCATGTGTGCGTGTGTGTGTGCAAGAAGTTCACACAGTTGCTTCTCCAACTCCTCCCTGCATGTATATTATATATACTTATATATAGGGGCATATATATATATATATATCTGCATATGTACACATATATTATATGTGTATATATATATGTGTGTATGTGTGTGTGTCAACGTGCATGTGCAAATGAACTTGTAAACATGCTGACACAACTCACCCGTCTCCTTCAGCAAGCAGCTCACGTTGAAGCACAGTGGCTCCTAGCCAAAGTGGCAGTATGTCAGCGAGACAGCCGTCATGGGCTCTGCAGAAGAAGGCAATGACTATGTATATATATATATATCCGCATGCGCATGTATATGTATACAATATATATATACATATGTTGCGGATGTTATGCTCAAACAAGTATATATATATAAACTTGCACCTATTGAAGACTAGTGAATGCATCTACAACGTGAACACCATGAATCAGAACAGATGCAACCCGCACAACCCTCGCTACCCGCAATCCGCTCAACTATGATCATTGAAACATGGCCACAACCCCGCCCCCGTTATATAGCAAGGTCCTGTCTGGTAGGTTTCGTGGAAGCCTGGATGGCGCCGCAAGACCGACATCCGTGACATCCAAGAATATATATATATATGTACATGTATATGTATATTTACAGTAAGTACCCACACATGTATATAAGCTTCCCCCATGAGAAGCATGCTGACCAATCCTCATGTCATTCAAGTGATCAACAGCATGTGTTCATAGCATGTTCATACAAAACATATGCGTGCCGTATGTATGCTCAACCACAGGCATGTAGGCAGATACATGTGCAGACTTTACATTTCTGACTGACATGTACTACAACCCCCTGGGTTCCCTTCCATGTGCCTTTGGCGCTGGCTCTGGTGGGCCTGGCTGCTGCACTGTCTCTGGCTCCTGTTTCGGCTGGCTGCGTGGGTGCACGGGTGGCTTTCCCATGTCAAGTACAAGAAAGGGGTTTGCATGTTCAAGATGAACACTTCGCGCGACCAAGACATGTCACACATGCCAATGTACATTGTTACATTCATATATATATATGCATCTATTTAAATATGTCTCTATGCACTTATTTACCAAATAATGATGTGAATAGACTTCGCTGAAGGCATTCTAACTCTGGGACTCGAAATGCAGTGGCAACCCCACCACGGCCAGCAAGTGTCCTTCATGGGCGCTTCAGATGTGTCCTGCAAGACCTGTCAGGCGTGTGAAAGCATGGCTGCAGGGAGAGACGTTCACAAGACTGACATCCGTGACACAAACTATATATACACTATTTATCAAGTACACACACATGATGATATTCACATATGCCTGGTTGACATGTACTACAACCCCCTGGGTTCCCTTGCATGTGCCTTTGACGCTGGCTCTGGTGGGCCTGGCTGCTGCACTGTCTCTGGCTCCTGTTTCGGCTGGCTGCGTGGGTGAACGGTGGCTTTCCCATGTCAAGTACAAGAAAGGGTTGCATGTTCAACATGCAAAGACATATCACACATGCAAATATACATGCATATTCAGCAAAAGATGCATCTTCTTATTCATTAATTTATGCACTTATTTACCAAACAATGATGTGAATAGACTTCGCTGAAGGCATTCTAACTCTGGGACTCGAAATGCAGTGGCAACCCCACCAGGCCAGCAAGTGTCCTTCATGGGCGCTTCAGATGTGTCCTGCAAGACCTGTCAGGCGTGTGAAAGCATGGCTGCAGGGAGAGACGTTCACAAGACTGACATCCGTGACACAAACTATATATACACTATTTATCAAGTACGCACACATGATGATATTCACATATGCCTGGTTGACATGTACTACAACCCCCTGGGTTCCCTTGCATGTGCCTTTGACGCTGGCTCTGGTGGGCCTGGCTGCTGCACTGTCTCTGGCTCCTGTTTCGGCTGGCTGCGTGGGTGAACCGGTGGCTTTCCCATGTCAAGTACAAGAAAGGGTTGCATGTTCAACATGCAAAGACATATCACACATGCAAATATACATGCATATTCAGCAAAAGATGCATCTTCTTATTCATTAATTTATGCACTTATTTACCAAACAATGATGTGAATAGACTTCGCTGAAGGCATTCTAACTCTGGGACTCGAAATGCAGTGGCAACCCCACCAGGCCAGCAAGTGTCCTTCATGGGCGCTTCAGATGTGTCCTGCAAGACCTGTCAGGCGTGTGAAAGCATGGCTGCAGGGAGAGACGTTCACAAGACTGACATCCGTGACACAAACTATATATACACTATTTATCAAGTACGCACACATGATGATATTCACATATGCCTGGTTGACATGTACTACAACCCCCTGGGTTCCCTTGCATGTGCCTTTGATGCTGGCTCTGGTGGGCCTGGCTGCTGCACTGTCTCTGGCTCCTGTTTCGGCTGGCTGCGTGGGTGAACGGGTGGCTTTCCCATGTCAAGTACAAGAAAGGGTTGCATGTTCAACATGCAAAGACATATCACACATGCAAATATACATGCATATTCAGCAAAAGATGCATCTTCTTATTCATTAATTTATGCACCTATTTACCAAACAATGATGTGAATAGACTTCGCTGAAGGCATTCTAACTCTGGGACTCGAAATGCAGTGGCAACCCCACCACGGCCAGCAAGTGTCCTTCATGGGCGCTTCAGATGTGTCCTGCAAGACCTGTCAGGCGTGTGAAAGCATGGCTGCAGGGAGAGACGTTCACAAGACTGACATCCGTGACACAAACTATATATACACTATTTATCAAGTACACACACATGATGATATTCACATATGCCTGGTTGACATGTACTACAACCCCCTGGGTTCCCTTGCATGTGCCTTTGACGCTGGCTCTGGTGGGCCTGGCTGCTGCACTGTCTCTGGCTCCTGTTTCGGCTGGCTGCGTGGGTGAACGGGTGGCTTTCCCATGTCAAGTACAAGAAAGGGTTGCATGTTCAACATGCAAAGACATATCACACATGCAAATATACATGCATATTCAGCAAAAGATGCATCTTCTTATTCATTAATTTATGCACCTATTTACCAAACAATGATGTGAATAGACTTCGCTGAAGGCATTCTAACTCTGGGACTCGAAATGCAGTGGCAACCCCACCACGGCCAGCAAGTGTCCTTCATGGGCGCTTCAGATGTGTCCTGCAAGACAAGTGAATCTCTTCTATCCTACATATATATATATATGGTGACCATATATATATATACATCTCTTCATATATCAAGCACCGAGAATCTTGAACACATCAAGCAGCTGAAGTGTGTCATATGTGTGTGCGTGGCACCTCTGACGGCAGTTCAGCTTTGGCAGCTGCTGCCTCCTGCGGGTATCTGTGGGTGGCACATGAAACAAAAAACGAGATTTGGCATCAAATATGTGTGCCTATGTCCATAAATGTAAAGCCACAGATGTTACACACATAAAGGCTGCCGCTGGATCCTGCTGGCGCTGAAGGACATTGTGCAAAGTGCCGGTAGTTGGTGAGCTTGGCTCCTGAAGAAAACCTAGCTTTGCTGGCGCTGGTGGAGGCGGCAAAGGTCTACTGGATACTTCCCCATCACTCAAGCTTTTCCAAGTGCTGGAGTCAAACAGGTTGACTTTGCTCTGCACCACTTTCATGCCATAACCTGGTGGTACAATGACATGCTTCTTCTTCTTCTTCGCTGCCTTCTTGTCGTTCGCACTTTTGTCCTTTTTCAGCGGCATGGATCTCTCCAAATGCGATGCAGTAAAAACCAAGTGTGTACAAAGACATGATGAAAGCATGCAATACACACATGCATAAACTTGCATATGTATATATGTATATATATATATATCTATACACGTATGTATGTTAGACACACATGTATGCATATTTGAATATATATATGTATATATACATATAATATACAAGCATCCGCAACCATGTGTGTATATACAAACCTGCAAAAATCATGAATGTCATATCTGCACATCTCTCGGTGGTCCTGCTCGTCAGGTGGGGGGCATGGGGCAGCAGTGGCCGTGCACAGTGAAGCAGTCAGCGTTGCCTGGCAAAGCTGGCACTTTGGTGCAAAAAACAAACACTATATATATATATATATAAATTTCTGTATGTGCATATATGTGATGCACATGAATGCATGGCCAGACTCAGCACATATGTCCGACCGAAGTAAACTTGAATCTGGAATGCCGGGCACGCATTTCCCACCAGCGGGCTGGTGCTACTTTTTTCCATCGCTTGTCAGAGAACTCTTGGGAGATTTGCTGCCTAAGATTGGCGCATGTCAGTGATTCCAGGCCCTCTTGGTTCCCACCCCGCCGATTCCAAAACAGAAAGCTGATGAGATTTATTGCACAAAATATATGTATATATATAAATAAGTATATATATATACACATACAAACAGAAACAAGTTGAGTGCACAGTGCTCATTGCACTTGCATGTTGTGGTGTACACTGTGCACCATGTTCTCTAAACTCGTTCGGGGGGAGATGAGCCAAGAAAAAATGGCCATTGGATCGACTGACCTAACTGTCCACATGCGCGGCTCCTTCAAGACTCCAACACTTCCTCCCAAATCTCCACCTTGGCAGATGGAATGGAAGTCCTTGTCCACCCTTTCACTAACAGCACACTCGTGACGTTCTCCTTGAAGTGCAAGGAAGGCACGGAAAATGTAGAATTCCAATCCCTTTCTTCGATCCAATCGAGGTAGAAGCTCGTCACCAATTTCTTCAACTTGCCAGGCGACTTCTTGCTCTGCAAGGATCTGGGCCAAGAGACGAATGGGCCACGTTTGAACCTGATGGTCCGGCGCATTTTGCTCAAAACCTCACTGTTCGCAACCTCACTGGGGATAGTCTTCTGGTTGGTGTTGTCAGGCTCAACCGACAAGTGGGTGACTTTGGCAACTTTGACAGTCGACTGGTTCACATCCAGGGCAGTCCCACAGCGCTTTCTTGGCGGGGTTGACGGAGGCTCTTCACCAAGAGCAAGCGTGCGCTGTGAGTCAGGTGAATCACTGGCCATGCTGATCGTGACAGGACAACTGAGTTTCAGCTAGGTGGGACGTTTGAGGACTCAAATGCTCGAGGCGTTCAACATTGGAGATACAGCTCGCTAATTTCCGCATGCTTCGGCAAACAGATGTTGGTCTTCTACATTTACATAAACGCATACGTACATAAATATATATATATATATGTGTGTCGTGTTTATATACTGTGCATAACATATGTATGGAAATAGTTATATATATATATTTCGCAGCCTGCTGCACTTCAGTTCACAAGAAAAGCCAACAAAACAAGCTGAAGAGCATGCTTTGACAATGAGATTGCGTAACTTGCGACCACATGCAACTGCTACGTGCATGAGAGAGCTGCAACTGCAAAAGTTCTACTTTTTTCGGCCTGCAGCGATGGATTGCATCATTCGATACTGTACTGGAAGCCACCTTGGTGGGACCATAAACCATGACATACCTTTGCTAATTCAGCATTAAGCTGAGCAAGTAGCGCATGGTGTCATCCGACAGACTTTGCCAGCAGATTTCAAATGCCGACAATCCTGCCTCTCATGCCACCGACCACCATGAGTGGTAACATAAATTGTGGTCGGCGGTGGTGGTGTGAAATCAAATTGCCGCCCTTGATCAAGATTGCATTGTACTCCAGCATCAGCAACTTTGATGGCCTTTTGGAAGGAGCACGTCCCCGGTCCACCGTCCTTCTTCATGAGCAGGCAGCAGGTTGAGCCAAGCAAAATGATGATCAACAGAAGGACTAACTCAAATGCAAAGCTGCCTGGAACTGACTCCATCTCTGGCGAAAGCGTGGAAGCGGCGGGGCTAGCGCACACCATCATCAGCAGCAAGACGGTGAAGAAAGTAGTTTGCGCCATTGCCAGTGGCGATGGGCTGGTTGGGAGGCGTCAATCCTTTCACTTGATCCAGTTGGTTATGTCGAGCACTCACTTGTCCACAGCTTCAAGTCTCAACTGTGGTAGGTGCATATGGGCACACAAATGCAGGCGTGCATATATGCACAAATAAAATTAAGTATATATATATATATATGCGCATGCTTGATTTGTGGATGGGAAGGGCAGTGGTTCTAACTCCGAAGGTCCAACATGCCCCAGTCACACAAGGGGCTGAGTTAGCGATCATTGGGCGTTGACGTGGGTGCGTGCGTCTCAAATGTACGTACCTATATGTTTGATATGTGTGTGTATGTCTGTATGTCTGTATGTCTGTATGTCTGTATGTGTGTATGTATGTATGTATGTATGTATGTGAACATGTGAACATGTGAACATGTGAACATGTGAACATGTGAACATGTGAACATGTGAACATGTGAATTCGGAATATGTAAAAAGATATATAGATGTATACATATAGGTATATATGTACATATTGATTTTATACATGTTATATACATATAAAATCACACCATTGACGGCGAAAAGCATGGCCCACCACGCCGAATAGAGGCCTGCACCTCGTCAACCTTGCTTTTGCCAGGTTCTGCATCAGTCGCCGCGGGGCGATCCTGGATGGCAAGCACGGTTCGTGAAGGTTGTAGATATGTATCCGTGTAAACATTTACCATGCAGTATATATACATTCATCAATACGTATTATATAAACATATGTCCGTATCTGTGACAAGTATATATGTACGTGTTTACCTGTATGACCATCTCTGAACATTGGACAGCGTATATGATGTGCACAGGGCACATTCTAACTCTGAAAGTTCAATTGGCTCGGTTCATGGCAGGGGCTGAGTTCTGTGATTTTTGGGTCATGAGGCAATGATCTAGATAAATGGTCCGATATCAAATGGAACCGGAAAACCAACCATTCCTCATGAGACTAGATACACACATTCACATAAAAATACACATGCAGACCTACATATGCATATACACACACATGTGCACATAATTCCTTGGCATGTACATGCCTGTGGCCCATGGCCCACCACGCCGAATAGAGGCCTGCACCTCGTCAACCTTGCTTTTGCCAGGTTCTGCATCAGTCGCCGCGGGGCGATCCTGGATGGCAAGCACGGTTCGTGAAGGTTGTAGATATGTAGCCGGGTATGCATCTACCATGCAGTATATTTACGTTCATATGTATGTATTAAACACATTTATATATATATATATATACATATATATATGTATATACATATATATATGTATATACATATATATATATATATGTAGAAATATATATATATATATTATGTTTATATTATATATATTATTTATATATATATATATGTATGTATATATATGTCTATATCTGTGATTGGTTTGTATGTGTTTACCTATATGATCATCTCTGAACATTGGGCAGCACATATGATGTGCACAGGGCACATTCTAACTCTGAAGGTTCAATTGACTCGGTTCATGGCAGGGGCTGAATTCTGTGATTTTTGGGACATGAGGCAATGATCTAGACTTGAGAGGGGGGGGACGAAAGGTAGGGGGGGGCAAAAGAGAGCAACAGGAAAAATATTGCCAAACTGAGATTGATACTTCTCTTCACTCAAACCTCCTGCAGAAGAAAATGTTAGCCCCCAAAAAAGCTTTGTGGGAATAGAATCAGAAACATAATGTCAAATGTAAAGTAACTTCACGCGCGCGCGCGCGAGCGCACGCATGTGCGGGACGTAAACATTGCGAGTCTCTATTCCCCGGCACGGCCTCAATGGGACTAGAACATCCACGATAGATCGATAGATCAATACATCGATAGATAGATAGATAGATAGATAGATAAAACTATAAATAAATAAATAGATGAATAAATAGATAGAGAGATAGAAGCATCGATCGATAAATAGATAGATCGATGGCTACCTTGATCGATAAACAGATAGATAAATAGATAGATCAATAGGTAGATAGATAGATAGATAGATCCAAGGATAGATAGATAAATACATACATAGATGGACAACTAGATAGATAGATATATCGATAGATAGATGGATAAGGAGGTAGGTACAGAGTCAGAGAAAAAGAGAGAGAAAAAAATGCGGACCAGGGGGGAATCGAATGGGGGGGGGAGGGGGGGGGGCCCGTGCCATTGACGATTGGCGTCGATTTTGCGGCACCACTTCTTGTGCATGTAGGCAGGGTGGAATGGGTTAAGGTGTCTCGATACATGTAGCTGTAACCTGCAACTCTCTTTACTGGCAATGCTGCATAGGATTTATCTCCGGCGCCAAGCGCCACTTTCAGAGCATGGGTGCTTTGCATTGTGGCGCACCTGTCCATCGGCCTCATCGGTCCATCGGCCTCACGGCTCCAGCGCTCCATCGGCTCCATCGGCTCGGCTCCATCGGCCTCATCGGCCTCATCGGCTCCATCGGCCTCATCGGCTCCAGCGGCTCCATCGGCCTCATCGGCTCCATCGGCTCCATCGGCCTCATCGGCTCCATCGGCCTCATCGGCTCTCATCGGCCTCATCGGCTCCAGCGGCTCCACATCGGCTCCAGCGGCTCCATCGGCCTCATCATCGGCCTTCATCGGCCTCATCGGCTCCATCGGCCTCATCGGCCTCATCGGCTCCATCGGCTCCAGCGGCTCCATCGGCCTCATCATCGGCCTCATCGGCATCCATCGGCCTCATCGGCCTCATCGGCTCCATCGGCTCCAGCGGCTCCATCGGCCTCATCATCGGCCTCATCGGCTCCATCGGCCTCATCGGCTTCATCGGCCTCATCGGCTCCAGCGGCTCCATCGGCCTCATCGGCTCAAGCGGCCTCATCGGCCTCATCGGCTCCATCGGCCTCAGCGGCTCCATCGGCCTCATCGGCTCAATTGGCCTGATCGGCGCCAGGGGTTCCAGCGGCTCATCGGCATGTCTTTCTGGAAAGCTTATTACGGCCCGAAGCAGGCGGAATCAGTTGCGTCCATTTTGCGCCTATGGTTTGCTTCGCTGCCTTTTGATTAGTATTGATCCATAGCCTCTTGGCTTGCGATATAGCCTCCAAGTGTCGAACGTACGGGGGGCCCCCCCCCCCTAAGTCTCCGTTCGTGACTCTCGGCTTTCAATTTCCGGGAAAGGAGCAGCCACCTCCCCCAGTACTAAACTAGTACTAAAGTACATAGAACTCAGGTAGCCTAGGCTACCTTTCGTGATAAATGGTCCGATATCAAAGAAAACCAGAAACCCAACCATTCCTCACGAGAGTAGATACACACATTCTTATAAAAATGCACATGCAGACCTACATATGCATATACACACATGTGCACATAATTCCTTGGCATGTACGTGCCTGTGGCCCACGGCCCACCACGCCGAATGGAGGCCTGCACCTCGTCAACCTTGCTTTCGCCAGGTTCTGCATCAGTCGCCGCGGGGCGATCCTGGATGACAAGCACGGTTCGTGAAGGTTGTAGATATGTATCCGGGAATGCATTTACCATGCAGTATATATATATACATTCATAATTTCGTATTATAAACACATGTCCGTATCTGTGACAAGTAAAGAGATATATATATGTATATATATATATATATACGTGTTCACCTGTATGATCATCTCTGAACATTGGGCAGCGTATATGATGTGCAGAGGGCACATTCTAACTCTGAAGGTTCAATTGGCTCGGTTCATGGCAGGGGCTGAGTTCTGTGATTTTTGGGTCATGAGGCAATGATCTAGATAAATGGTCCGATATCAAAGAAAACCAGAAACCCAACCATTCCTAACGAGAGTAGATACACACATTCACATAAAAATACACATGCAGTTCTGCGTATGCATATACACACGCATGTGCACATAATTCTTGGCATGTACATGCATGTGGCCCACGGCCCACCACGCCAAATAGAGGCCTGCACCTCGTCAACCTTGCTTTCGCCAGGTTCTGCATCAGTCGCCGCGGGGCGATCCTGGATGACAAGCACGGTTCGTGAAGGTTGTAGATATGTATCCGGGTATGCATTTACCATGCAGTATAGATACGTTCATATGTACATATTAAACATATATATATATGTATATATTTATATATATATACATACATGTGTATATATATATATATCTGTGACAAGTATATATATATATGTATGTACGTGTTTACCTGTATGACCATCTCTGAACATTGGACAGCGTATATGATATGCACAGGGCACATTCTAACTCTGAAAGTTCAATTGGCTCGGTTCATGGCAGGGGCTGAGTTCTGTGATTTCTGGGACATGAGGCAATGATCTAGATAAATGGTCCAATATCAAATAAAACAGGAAAACCAACCATTCCTCACGAGAGTAGATACACACATTCACATAAAAATACACATGCAGACCTACATATGCATATACACACACATGTGCAAATAATTCCTTGGCATGTACATGCCTGTGGCCCACGGCCCACCACGCCAAATAGAGGCCTGCACCTCGTCAACCTTGCTTTCGCCAGGTTCTGCATCAGTTGCTGCGGGGCGATCCTGGATGGCAAGCACGGTTCGTGAAGGTTGTAGATATGTATCCGGGTATGCATTTACCATTTAGTATATATATATATATACATTCATAAATACGTATTATAAACACATGCCCATATCTGTGACAAGTATATATATATATATTTGTACGTGTTCACCTGTATGACCATCTCTGAACATTGGACAGCGTATAGGATGTGCACATGGCACATTCTAACTCTGAAAGTTTCATTGGCTCGGTTCATGGCAGGGGCTGAGTTCTGTGATTTCTGGGACATGAGGCAATGATCTAGATAAATGGTCCAATATCAAATAAAACAGGAAAACCAACCATTCCTCACGAGAGTAGATACACACATTCACATAAAAATACACATGCAGACCTACATATGCATATACACACACGTGTGCACATAATTCCTTGGCATGTACATGCCTGTGGCCCACGGCCCACCACCCCGAATAGAGGCCTGCACCTCGTCAACCTTGCTTTCGCCAGGTTCTGCATCAGTCGCCGCGGGGCGATCCTGGATGACAAGCACGGTTCGTGAAGGTTGTAGATATGTATCCGGGTATGCATTTACCATGCAGTATAGATACGTTCATATGTACATATTAAACATATATATATATATGTATATATTTATATATATATATATACATGCATGTGTATATATATATATATATCTGTGACAAGTATATATATATATATGTACGTGTTTACCTGTATGACCATCTCCGAACATTGGGCAGCGTATAGGATGTGCACAGGGCACATTCTAACTCTGAAAGTTTCATTGGCTCGGTTCATGGCAGGGGCTGAGTTCTGTGATTTCTGGGACATGAGGCAATGATCTAGATAAATGGTCCAATATCCAATAAAACAGGAAAACCAACCACTCCTCACGAGAGTAGATACACACATTCACATAAAAATACACATGCAGACCTACATATGCATATACACACACATGTGCAAATAATTCCTTGGCATGTACATGCCTGTGGCCCACGGCCCACCACGCCAAATAGAGGCCTGCACCTCGTCAACCTTGCTTTCGCCAGGTTCTGCATCAGTTGCTGCGGGGCGATCCTGGATGGCAAGCACGGTTCGTGAAGGTTGTAGATATGTATCCGGGTATGCATTTACCATTTAGTAAATATATATATATACATTCATAAATACGTATTATAAACACATGCCCATATCTGTGACAAGTATATATATATATATTTGTACGTGTTTACCTGTATGACCATCTCCGAACATTGGGCAGCGTATAGGATGTGCACAGGGCACATTCTAACTCTGAAAGTTTCATTGGCTCGGTTCATGGCAGGGGCTGAGTTCTGTGATTTCTGGGACATGAGGCAATGATCTAGATAAATGGTCCAATATCAAATAAAACAGGAAAACCAACCATTCCTCACGAGAGTAGATACACACATTCACATAAAAATACACATGCAGACCTACATATGCATATACACACACGTGTGCACATAATTCCTTGGCATGTACATGCCTGTGGCCCACGGCCCACCACCCCGAATAGAGGCCTGCACCTCGTCAACCTTGCTTTTGCCAGGTTCTGCATCAGTCGCCGCGGGGCGATCCTGGATGACAAGCACGGTTCGTGAAGGTTGTAGATATGTATCCGGGTATGCATTTACCATGCAGTATAGATACGTTCATATGTACATATTAAACATATATATATATGTATATATTTATATATATATACATACATGTGTATATATATATATATCTGTGACAAGTATATATATATATATGTACGTGTTTACCTGTATGACCATCTCCGAACATTGGGCAGCGTATAGGATGTGCACAGGGCACATTCTAACTCTGAAAGTTCACTTGGCTCGGTTCATGGCAGGGGCTGAGTTCTGTGATTTCTGGGACATGAGGCAATGATCTAGATAAATGGTCCAATATCCAATAAAACAGGAAAACCAACCACTCCTCACGAGAGTAGATACACACATTCACATAAAAATACACATGCAGACCTACATATGCATATGCACACACATGTGCAAATAATTCCTTGGCATGTACATGCCTGTGGCCCACGGCCCACCACGCCAAATAGAGGCCTGCACCTCGTCAACCTTGCTTTTGCCAGGTTCTGCATCAGTTGCTGCGGGGCGATCCTGGATGGCAAGCACGGTTTGTGAAGGTTGTAGATATGCATCCGGGTATGCATTTACCATGCAGTATAGATACGTTCATATGTACATATTAAACATATATATATATACGTGTATGTATATATATATATTTATACATACATGTGTATATATATATGTATCTGTGACAAGTTTGTACGTGTTTGCCTATATGACCATCTCTGAACATTGGGCAGCGTATATGATGTGCACAGGGCACATTCTAACTCTGAAGGTTCAATTGGCTCGGTTCATGGCAGGGGCTGAGTTCTGTGATTTCTGGGACATGAAGCAATAATATAAATTAATTTATATATATATATATACCTTTATTGAAGCATGTATGTAACAGATGGCAGAGAAGTAAAACGGAGTCCTGAAGGCTTGCACTGACACCACTGGTGTTGGCATGTTCTGATGCATCATCAATGGGTAGCAGAGAGCCCATGGATGGCACTCTCTCCTTAGGGCCAATGAATAGCACTCCACTCACATATGTACATTATATATATATAGTGCAGGTACATGTGTATTTACAGGCCATATATATATATTATATATATATAGTATATATAATATATATATATAGGTATACAGCGAAAAACGGAAAACCAAAATTGCACAATAAATATGCATGGGCGTATGCGCGTTCAATGTGTCCCTAGATTTACAGAAGATACTGTATCGAGATGTTTCGGTAGGGAATGCCAGTGCCAACCGAGGCACATCTGGAATCAGCATAAGGTCGAATTTTTGCTCTGAACATGGCACCAGCAAGTCGTAATGCCCAAAACGACGGTCTTCAACGGCAGCCGCACTCCACGAAAAGTAGAGGTGCGCTGACGAACGCGCAGTTTGACATCCAAACATGATGTCGCGCCGCAGCCAGGGGTACCACTCTCGCAGCGTGCTGTAGATATCTGCGTCAACCGTCAACCTGACTGATGTCTTCAATGTGTCTGCAATCCAGACCAAGTCCGTCAATAAGAACGATGGATCTGCCCGCACCCTCGCAATGTCATCAGCGAGGCTCGGAAACATGATGGACCCTTCATCGCCTCAATGTGGTCGAAGTCCCGTGCAGTTTATCAATACATATGTAGAATACTATGTATATATATATATGTTGTTTTTCAACATATATATATATGTATATACATGCATAACAACAAGCAAATACATACATGCATGATGTGCACATACATGTGAAAACATTCAAAATGCATGCATGAATGAAGAAATACTGTTGTATATTTATGTAGTCAAAACTGTGTCACAAACAAGATATAGTTACATCGGTGTTTCGGGCGAGAGGCATACACTGCTGCTAAATTCCTGGGAATCCTTGATCTCTTGCTCAAGCTGTAGGTGGTTGCGTGGGTAGTGGGCATCATTCCTGCTTCCAGGGTTTGCAACGTCCACAAAGGTGCGCTTGTCCATGCATGTATTTTTATACATGCACATGCACATATATATGCACCATTGGTTTGGGTAGGCTCCATGTACAAAACCTCTTTATACATATATAATCATACAAGCATGTGTACAATTACACATAGTTTTTGCTCAAATGTATATATGGTATATGCATATAAATATATATATATGTGTGTATCCGTGTGCGTGCATGTTGAACAAATGCATATATATATATTTATATATATGATGCCAAAACACACCAAGGTGTCCTTGGCACCAGCTCGTGCGCATCCGGATCCAACGCTGCCAGTAGGCTACGCCAACCACAGCGCCCATCTCCGGCCATGCGAATGATACGAAAAGGGACTAGGTTGGTGTTCTCTCGTGGTTCAGCAAGTGCAGTGCAAGCTGAGACGCGCTGAAGAACAGCATCAACAACTTGCACATAAAGGCGCTCACGGTTGGATTGAAGCAAGTGTTCAAGCCAACAGATGCTCCCCAAACGGGTTCCTCTCGCTGTGGTCCACGTGGGTTCCCTCTGCATGAGCTTGCCCTCTGCCCCATCACCCTCCAGCCACTCTGCCACAGCTACGCAACCAGGATTCTCCTTGTGTGCCTGATATGCATTGGAATGAATGGAACATGCATAAAACCGCTATATATGTGTATATATATATATATATGTGTTTATCTGTCTATGCACAAACAGTTGCATATACATGCATATAATCACATATATACAAATACGCGAAATTGCCTTACACAGTTGCATTCAAATACAAACATGTATATATATATATATGTACACAGACATGTGTATATATACATACATACATGTGCAGTTGCATGCGCGTGTAGAATGCATACAGCTCTATATTTATATATATATATATGCACACATATGTTTTATTGGTGCGACTGTATATATATATGCATGTATTTTTATGTCAAAACATGATCAAAACGTCGATAGTTGCACATCCAAGATGCAAAAACACACACAGAACTTGAAACGTACTTGGCTCTAACCAAGCCAAATTGTTCCACTGCCAAGGCGAGGTCTTGCTGATCTTGAAAGCAGCCCGCGATGATGATACCACGGACTACCAACTGTTCGGAAGTGCACAAATGATCAATTTTCTGATCTGCCAGTAGATCTGGGAGCGACTTGGAAACAATCACGGAATGACATACGGGCTTGTTTTTGACTTGCCCCCCCATCAATAGTCCGCAGATACCCGGACTGCGAGAAGACCACGTTTGAAAAGTAACCAAAGCTGCCTTCTGGAATGCAACTGCTGAAGGCGCTTTGGTGCTCTCACTTTCCTCTTCAGGCTTCATCACCAGGTGTGTGACATCGGTCCCAGCAACTAACTGCGGGGAGCATGAGGGAGGACCAGAAGACAGGATCTTGGTGATGTCTTCTCCGCCAGCATTTTTTACAAGGTGATGGGCTTTGACTGTTGCCTGCACAACGTCGGGTCATTCCACAACCAGAGTTAGACTGCCTGCTAACCCGCAAAACCTGCCCAAACGTGTGCATATATGTGCATATATATATAAATATATGTATTTCTATATATGCATGTATGTATGTACAATGTGTTTAGACATGTATTTATGTATATGTGCATATGCATACATGTGTTTTCATTCGAGTCTATGGTATTCAACATGGTCGAAAGTCAGACACCAACCAATATGTACACATTTATGCGTGCACACAATCATGTATATATCTATCTGTCTATCTATATATATATATATACATGTATGTGTATATGTATATGTATATATATATATCTGTATATGTATGTATATATATATGTATACATATATATATATGTATACATATATATATATATGTATATATATATGTGTGTGTCTTTGCATGGTGGCCTCATCAGCCACTGTGCTTTTCTTACCGGATGATGATGCCGCCCAATTTGCTTCGCTACGAGCAAGCCATTGGATAGCTTGGGCGACAGTCCCAGTACCAAGCATCTTGGTGATGGTTTCACTCCCTGTGTCAAAAGAGACAACATACGACCCGTCTGAAGACCGCTTCATCGTGCCACGCGGTGTAGGCACCAAGGCATCCAGAATTCCTTGTTCCACTTTACCTTCCAGTGGTGGGAGGATGACATACATTTACAAACGTTACAAAAGCATCACATGTACATCCGAACACACACATATCTATATATATATATATAGATATACACATGTCACTGTACAATATATAAGCATGCAAATTATGACAAACGTGTCATTCTAACTTTGGAAACACAAAAATGCATTTAGGTGACAGCCCCCAGTCAAACATGTTTCTGACGCTCATGACTGACGCAAGGAGTCAAAACATGTATATACATGCATACACCTCGCCTACATTTCCTTTGAAGCATTGCTGCAAGAAGCACTCTCTCTTGTCCGATACTGTCTTCCCGGTCAAGGTGATCCCCAGCGATGCAATCCATGTAGTTCGCTCCTTCCGAAGTGGAGCATTCTTATGCGTATGGGTGCAGCAGCAACAACAATGTATATAACTGCCCCGACTGAAACATATATATATATACATATATATTTTTCTGTATAGTTGTGTAATTACATGTATTTGCGTTTGCATTCATGCGTTTCATTTAAATGCATGTGAACATTTTCAGTGCAATGGCACATACATATGTTCATCAATCGGTACAATTTCGCAGAGTCTCCTCCCCCTTCCGGATGTCAAAATCAGCAAGTTGTGTGCAGACCAGCTTACGGAATTGGATAGATGCAATCCTCATCGCAGCATCGCCGCCGTAAATTTTGGCTGGGAAAATGCGTAGTTTACCCCACTGGCGAACCTGATACCTGAGGTCGCATTGGACTAGCGCGGTAAAGAGTGTGCAGCAGTATCAGCAAACTGAATGCACTCGCCTGGGCGTGTCTACATCAAATGGATGCATGCATGCATGCATGTACTTTTATACATGTGCAACTCCCTCATATACTCAGCGTGTGCACTAGTATATACATCGAGCAAAACGCATAAGTAATTTACATAAACATGCGGCGCATGTGTGGAAATCTATATATATATATGCATGAGTATGCAGACGTTTGCAAATATAATATAACATCAAGGAACGAACTTTTGAAAGCTCTGATGCCATCGGGCAGTGCATCTGCTACTGCCACATCATCATTGGCAGCAGAAGTGCTGCTGGACGGCTGTGTTGTAGCCGTCGTTGAATTCGTGGTATTGTTGCCATTGTCAACATCGCCATCAGGCGGAGGATCATTTGGAGGGGGTAAAGGTGGACCAGGCATCGTCTGCTTAGAACCCCATGCAGCCGCACCTGACGGCGCAGCCTCAAGCAGTTGTTGCCTGATATCACCAAGTGAATCCATGGCGGCAGCAAAAAAAAATAAATGTAGTGGCAATACACGCATGTTTTAGATTTAGATTTTTTCTTTGCATTTATATAGGTTATTCCGCTGTCCATGTGTTTGAAATCTGGTGCGGTTTGTTCACAACTCTGGCGCCCCTAAGTGGTGCAGGAACATGAGGTAGTCATTCTAACTTTGGTGTGCTAAAGTGATGCAACCAATGACCCTGTGCAACATGCGCAGCTATCAGCCATGACTGGCGCGGAAACGAACCAAGAATGCAAGCACTCAAAAACATAGATGCATACATGTAAACTAAAAGGAAATGAATGCACGCATAAAGTGTACACATACATACATACATGCATGCATGCATGCATACATACATACATAATATATATATATATATATATTTACTGGCTGCATGCATGCATGCCGGAATATGCATCCAGGCACGTAATTGCGTGACCCACGCAAATATTGTGTATACTGTATACTGTATAATGTGTAAAATATTTATATTTTTTTTTGCATGTTTACGTGTTTCTGCGAATGAAGTGTGGGGACCATAGTTCATCTACACATGCATTTGTGTAGTGTATATGTACGCGTGGGCCCTGTCATGCATAAATTAATAAATGCAAGTGTGCACATGTGCATGTGCAAAAGTGTATATATACATCTATATATGTGTGTATTTGCATGTGCGTTGAGCTATTTGTCTCTTTACCGGTGCATAGGCATGCACGTACACTGGAAGATATATACATGTGAACATGTTTATTCATAATATGTAAGTGCATCATATGCAAAATTATGTCAAATTTCACGTGGCAGCTGCATCATTCTAACTTCGGGCCCCCCATCTCCATTTCCCGCGTCTATGCCGACACTTTCTGGTACCTAACCCCCTGTGTTTTTGGATTTTGGTCTCATTCTAATTCTGAAGGTTGACTTTCTGATTTTGACCCAACAGAGTTAGAACCACCGTTTTCCGGTTATGAAAATTTTTGGAACGCCAAAACGACATTCTAACTTTAAGTCCGTCAGTATAGTGTTGGAACTGCTGGATTTCGAATGATTTAAGTCCAAAGTGCCAATTTCAAGATGAGACCGTCTCCATATCAATCGCAATCCTTCTCAGCGTGACCTATTTGGGACCTCCAGTTCCATGATAGCCCGCCATCCTGACCCTCACATGGTGTCAGCAATGAACAAGTGCCTTATTCCATCCGTACAGCCAGATAGTAGGAGGCCAATCTATCATTGTCACACTTACCTGCCAAATCCGAATTACAGAGTGGTTGGTGGTTTCAACCCCTCTGAAAAATATTTGTCAGTTGGGATGATTCTTCCCAATATATGGAAAAAAAAAGTTCATGTTCCAAACCACCAACCAGCTACATGTCCCGAATTTCAGTTGCCAAATCAGCCATCCTGAGTGTAGCCCACCGGCCCATCGCCATGTTGCGCAACGGCAGATAGGTTCCCCGCAACTTGGCGTTGGAGATGATGCGCTCCACGTCGCGGCGTTCGGCTTGGCTGCAGCACATGGGCATCTTGAAGCCTGGTGGATGGATGGGTGGCAAATGGATATCAATGGTGTACAGTATAATATGAATAAAAAGGGGCACTAGGGGCCAGTCCGACCTGTCCACTCAAGTTTTCCCCATTTCATTCCTTGCCAAAAACTGGCTCATGCTCACCAAAAAACTTGTTGTTTCCCTACCCGCCAACCACCATCCATCTGCCAGCCATAGCCTGTCACATTTCTCCTCGCTTCCAACGAGGTGAAGACGACGTAGCACCCGGAGGAGTCCACGGCATCGTCCGAAATCTTCGACAGATCCGCGTCCAGGGGCACGGGGCCCACGTCCGGGCGGCCCTGTTTGGGGTAGCCCGGGTTCATGGCGGCCTGGGGCCGAGGATGGACTTGGGGGGCTGTTGTGGTGGGGGTAAAAAATGGAGATTTGGATTAAACCAATTTTGGAAGTGTCAAACTTTGGTGGTACAGAACAGCAGAGGTTCGGAAAGATCTCAGGAGTGGCCCAAAAATGCTTTTGACATATTGTTCGAAACAAATCTGGAAGAAAAGGTCACTGCTACACACAGGCATCCCCTTAGGTATCTTGATGGTTCTATGGGGAGCATGCCCTATTGAAGGCCCCTTCAAAAATCAATTCATTTGCTTAGCTTTCGTTTACCAATGGTTCAAAAGAGGTGATCCTTCCTTTTGACCAACCAGTGGGGAAAGGACACGCCCGGCCGCCAAGTTGCGATCAATGGATCGAAAAACTCTTTGAAGACTTCGTACGACTCGGCGTCGCCTGGATCCAGCTGCGGCCCGGCGGATTTACACCGCATGCAGAAAAAAATTCTGGATGTAGCAGCAGTAACCCTCTTACATTTCCAAGAGAACACATGAAACTGCTCAGAATAGAATTCAAAGGGCTGCTGACTTCATAGCTAGGTCTTCTATCAAAGTTGTTTACGGACAGTTGCTGTAAGCCCTCCATTCTTTACCATTCACACCCTTGCCACTCTGATATGGAAATCCATGGACGCTGCGTGTATCATGCATTCGACACCTGCCTGAACCCTTCCCACAAACTTCCACCCCATATTTTTGGTGAAACCAGGAGCATCATGTGCAAATCGCTCAACCCGCCCTGAATCAGCAAACTTCATATGGATTTGTCTGAAAATGGTGGCCCCTACGCCCAAATGGTATATTGAAGAGGAACAATGACGATGAACTCAATCGATTTACACGGTTTCCCCAAAATTTTCAATCAAACCCAAGTATAACAATTTGTCAAGTTGGTTGTCCCTTTGTTTTCCCATGATTCAGTAACGATTAACCGAGTTATCGCATACCCGCACCACCTGACCCCAACTGGTTGCCCCCACATATCCCATTAGATCCCATTGTAGACCGCCATAAAGAACAATTTCACAATCATTTTATTCAAGTGCAATACCAAGTATCCCAAATCCAACCTCGCAAAAATGTGCAATATCTTGGGAAACATGATCCTTTACGGGACTCAAATCATCCCCATTATATCATCAATTCATCCCCAGTATACCCCATTATAGCCCGGATAATCATGATTTTACCATCATTTTCACCATAAACTCCTATAAAATCTCATTAATCCCAAAAAATACAGGGATTTTCCCGCCATTTTCCCAGGATTTTCATAGAAACGTTGCCATCCCCTGCCCTTGCCCCGGTTGCGACCGCCGCCTGCATAGGCGCCCGCCACCTTCACCAAGGGATGCCCGGGGCAATCCACGGCGGCCTTGATGCAGCGCGCCAAGGTCACGTCCATAGAGGTGCCTCAACGCGACAGAAGGACGGGCTTGGGGGATGTTCGGGCAATGGCTAAATGTCATGGTTATATGATAACTATTGGCTATTTAATTCTAGAATCTATGCGGTTATAATCTCTAATTCGTTGGAATTATCTTTGTTATGGTTATATATAGTTTCAAACACTATATGGATCTGTATGGTTATATGATAACTAAGTTCTAACTATTGATGTTAACCGTTGACCATGAACAATGATAGCTAAAATTTTGAAAAATCATCCTTTGGAACTAATGATTACTAATCAGGGTGAAAGTGGTATATCTCAGGTGCAACTGGTTATAGTGGGTACTGTATGTGATAACATGTGATAACCAAATCTTGATGGTATATGATCATTCATGCTTAATATATGATAGTTTGATGAACCATGATAACGGCAATGATAAGAATGGTAAATGAACTATGACAAGGATGGCCCAATAATCTTTCACACAATGGCATATGATCATGTTGGGGTAATCAGTAATGTGATGGGCTATAGTCTTGCGAGAACAATAGCATGTGAGAATTAGACTTCAGTTGGGGGGTATGAGCAGCGATCATGGGATAATCATGGGATAGTAGTGAATAGTAACGAAGATTTAGAGAAAAGCAATCCAGGGTAAAAACAATATTTTAGTTGATCTCTAAACTGCAATCCATTGACATAAAGATGCATCCATCTCCCAGATTGCTTGCACTCACATTGATCCGGAGCAATGTCCTGATCTCACCTGGGAATTGAGTCCCAGGGCCGACCCTTGTCTACCAGCTTGATTCAGTCTTAATCTCCACGAATGAAGATGAAGATGGCTAAGAGGCGTTTCAAAAATACAGTCAATACTTGCAACCTTTGCCATGGAATCCCTAGCTGCACCATATTTTCGGGTCATAAACATGGTCACACCGAATTTGATGGGGTAAAATTACCCCTTGCCGCTATGGGGTTTGGTCGATCATTCTCGGTTGCTGTGCCTTGCGGATGCGGGGCCTAGTGTGGCCCTTGCGTGGTGACCATGCACAAACGGATGCTCCCGCCATGCCTCGGCCATCCGTATCCATTTTGAAGCATTGCGTTTCCTGACCTTTTCCTTTCCTGCCGCGCCTTGTACTTTTCGCGGCGTGCCTTGTCAACAGAAACTTCTGTGTCAACCTGCGATAAAGCTGTTTCAGCCTGAACAAAAGTCTCCTCAGAGCCACAGTTTGTTACGAGATGCGCGGTCTCCATCACAACGCGGCCCCGCAACACCTCGCCGTGATTGCTTTTGAAAACTACATGGCCAGATATGGCCAGCTGCCAAGCCACAACCGTGGCTCTTTCTTGTGCCCTTTATGCACTATACATTTAAAACCGTTTTTGCGCCTTAAATACCATATTGGGAGCTAAATTTCTACATTTTGTTGGTGACGTGCGGTATTCTGCTGATTTATATGTTAAGACCCCATAGGGTGGATTTGTACGATGGGAAAACTTACAGAACCCCTGATATTCACAAGCAAAAACGACGATGACAAATTTGATAAATATTCCGACTTGTCCGTGATTAAACCCTTTCCTTAAATGGTGGAATCAGTAACATCCCAACTCTTGATGGTTGAAGCACCATGTTCCGCTGGTCAAGCTCCCAATTTCTGATGGTTCAAAGTTCAAACCCCAAAACCATCCATATGATCTGAAAACAGGATACCTTCCAAAAAATGGATGGTTGAACAAGGAAGAAATTCCCCATGAAACGCAGCTATTTTCGGGGTATCCCCATGTCATCCACTGAGGCCACCATCCATTGACGTTCCATCGAAAGCCAAGGCGCGCAGCGTGGCCAGGCGCGGCAGGGCGTCCGACAGCTCCGGAGAACGAAGGACGGCCATGGCCACGGAGTTGTGCTTGGAGATGTCCTGAGATGGGCGACATGGGATGGGATGGGGGGTAGAGATGATGTTTTGTGGGATGTGAAAATATGTGAACTATAGAATGATAGCAGTGGTCCCACCCAAAAAGGACAGAAAAGGCATTTCAGCAACATTTGGATTGAACTTTGCTTTTGTATCTTTTTTTGGATTGCTATATCTGTCTACATATATGATATATCCATACATGTAACTGATTTTCTGGTAGTGCAAATTCATGGATGGGATAACCCACTAGAATGTGATAATGACAATCATCGTTGCGGTCTTGCAACTGTTGTGAAGAGATTTGATCATGACAGGGGTGACAGTTGCTTCGGACTGATAGATGCATAGCAAATGGCTGTAAAACCGTCAATGGACAGATAACCTGCAATCACTCAAATTTCACAATCTGTTCAAAACCAATGACCGACAGATAAGGGGGATGTCGACCAGCAAGAATCGGGGATATCACCTGGACCTAAAAACTGGAACCCAACGGAATCCAATCAACCATAGAATGCTTCGCAGCAGCCACCATGTGGTACCGTAAATTGCTATAATTCGGGGAACTTATGGTAACTTATGTGTTCCAAACCTAACTTGCCATTCTCGTGGCCCGTGGGACCATGGCAACCATGGCACCGACAGCCAAGGTTCTGGCAGCGGAAAGTCCACAAACCCCGGCAGCGCCTCGTCTCCTCCATATGGCTGCGAAATGCAGCTTGAATCGGCTATGGGGGGTCAAGGGTCATCACCCATAAACCCATGTGTCATTCCTACAGGATACCCATGTACATTTACAATGAACTTATTTTACGTGTACATTTATTAGGATACATTTGTGCTGGAAATCAGCCTAGTAAGTTTTGGGAAGTAAGTTGTATGATTGGCGCAAAGAATCATGTTGTCATGGAAGTATTGCTGGGATACTGTGCAAACTATGTCAACTCAACTTCTTCACAACCCCCAAACCGCAGGGAAACCACCCAAATCCATCAAATAATTCTTGCTGCTTAAGCTCCTGTTGCGTTCCGGATCTCGTATTGGGTTTTTACGGCATTCCTCGTCTGCACGCTTTGATTCCACGATGTGTGAAGCAATCTCTCAGAACCGTACTTCAAGCACAGTTCAACTTTTGTCAACCACTTTCTCTCACCATCACAGCTGAGCCATTGTTCGAATAGCACGTGCAGCTTCTCAGTGCCTGTTTGGGGGCATAGAGATAACAAATAGTTATAGGGGATCTTGAGATCACTAGAATGAACGAACCATGAAAGACATCCCGTTAGCAAAAACATGGTGGACATTGTCAATAGAAAGGTGGGATCGGAACTGAACAGAAAACGGTGCAATGGGGTCTTGACTGAATAGAATTTGTAGTAGAACTGGTTAAATCATCAGCAACATGGCAAAACCACGCAGCATCAAGAAACGAACCAATGGCGAGAAAGAATTAAAGCGTGGTTTCAACCCCTCTGAAAAATATGAGTTCGTCAGTTGGGATGATGAAATTCCCAGTATATGGAAAGTCATAAAACTCCATGGTTCCAAACCACCAGCCAGCTGGGGGATTCGATTCTTACTGGTCCCCAATGACATCCATGGCATCCTCCCGCGGCTCCTAGGCCGGGCTCCGTGGAGAAATCGATGTCGCCGGCGTCGAGGTGATCCACCTCCTCCCGCTTCTGCTCGATGAAGTCTGCCATGAAATCCAGGTAGTCCTGATCCCACAGATTTTTGGATGGCGAATGGGAACATATTATATTAGTCAGTTGGGATGATTATTCCCAATATACGTAAATATTTGTTTTTGCAAAAGGAAAATCATGATCAATCACTGGATTTATGGGTGGTTAATTGTAATTGTAACATGTAGACCAACAGGTTCGAACAATGGATGAAACCTTGCTAATGCATTTTGGGGGCATAGAAATAACAAATCATTTTAGGAGATCGTGCGATCATCCGAATGAAGGAACCATGAAAAACACGGCGAACATTGTCAATAGAAAAGTGGGTCCTGAACCGAACAGAAAATGGAACAAACTCGCCCATATGATTTTAACCGCCAGCAAGTCATATGGGCTCTTGACTGAGTAGAAATGGCAAATCATCAACAAAAATGGGGCAAAACCACGCCGCAACATCAAGAAACAAAACGCAAGCAAAGATCGGGGGCAAGCAACAAATTAATGGGAGGTTTTTACTCTTATCTTAACCAACAAAGTGCCATAGACACAGCCATCGTCAGCCAAACAACGTCTTATTCTTTGGAAGGAAACAACGGATTATTAGAGGAAATTCTCCCAAGACAAACGGGGAACACATAAGCCAACAACACGTCCTGCAGAAACTACTGTTGACTGCAGTGAAAATGGAGAAACTGACGATTTTAGTCCCAAGCCCATCCAACTTGAAAAGGATCGGTGCTGCAACGCTTGCTTTGTCCTTCACACGTTGACCCTGGGCCCCGCTCGTACCTCCGATCCCTCCATCTGTGTTCCAAGGCTCCCGTGGCTTCCTCTCCAGCAGCTGGGTGAACATCTCCTGCGAGCGGCTCTGGAAAAAAAACATATGGCATGATGATCCCTGACGTTGGTATAAGAATATGAGCACTACAAGTAGGTTCTTGCATGTGCAAACCCGTAAAATTCATGGGATATCCTCGAAAAACGAACAATCAGTTCCGTGTTCAGGTCCGGCCTGCAGAAAAGGCTGGATGCCGCTGGATTCCATGTACTGCCGCGCGCGTTCCGCCGCATTGCGGCCCCGGGAGGCGGCAGTCTTCTCCTGGAAGCTGGGCTGAGGCATGGGGCTCTGGCGAATAACTTGGGAAACGGGGTCACGACGACAGTAAAAACAATGAACATTCAATTTCAAGTGGCCACTGCATGGCCTCTTGACTGCAGACTATTGTACATAATTCAAACTGATAACCGTCAAAATCCTGATTTATTATGTACATGTCTGGCTCATTTTTGAGCATTTTCCTTTGTGGCTCTAATCCCGTGTCTTGGGAAATATTGTGGAAACTTCATCCTACATCCAAACCGTTCTTTATTACCATCAAAAAACTCGGATTTTCCCACTATTTTCCCACTGTTTACCTACAATTTTCCCATTCTTTTCCCATTATTTTCCCACTAGTTTCCCACTATTTACCTGCAATTCTTGAGGTCATCGTTGCCCATTTTCTGCCGCGCTGGCATCGTCCTCCGGCTCGACGGACCGCAGGGAGGCTTCGAAGGACGCCTTCATCGGCGCATCGCCGATGTCGAGGGATTGGATCCTCAGCGGTGACCAGTGGGGCTTTAGTTTGACCTCAATGAAATGATCTGGTTGGTGGTTGAGCCACCCCTCCAATAAGGGCTTCATCATTTGGGCTTTAAATGATGTTAGGTTGTTCAAAAACAATATCTGGTTGGTGGTATACCTACCCCATCTGAAAAAATTGAGTTCGTCAGTTAGGATGATGACATTCCCAATATATGGAAAGTCATAAAATTCATGCTCCAAACCACCAATCAGTGATGAGTTGGTTTAGAAGCCCCCTTTGACTATGGATATATCGTGATATATCGGCCAGAAATTTAAAGTTATTGGAGTTACAAAGAAACTTAGCTAGCGGGCACCACCTTGTAGTAATGGGGTGGGGTGCAGGAAGGGGAAAACTTGATGGCGGGATATCACCACTGGACACGCGGCAGTTTTACAGTGCCAATGGGCAACCGGATGTCAAAAGAAGTTTAATGACAAACTACAAACTACTGGGATGCAGAACGCATTTTGACATCATGAATCATTGTCTGGTAGGAAAACAGCTGCTTGATGTGAGATGCCTGGATAATTCCACAAAAATGTCCTAAAGAAGCTATCCAGTGCAGATCTGATCCAAGTGACTCCACGTTGTTCAAAGAGCCACCCACTGCAGTGATCCCAGCAAGGCTCACTTGCGTTGAAGCCACCTGAGCTGCTGCTAGATATCTGTTTGTGGATAGGGAAAGCAAAAGATGCAAACTTCCTTCGAAACGAAAGTAATCAGGGTATATCAATCAGGTATTTGGTTGACGGCCCTCAAGTTGCAAGTTTTTTGATTGGGGATGGATTTGGCGTAGGGATCATCCTAGTTTAATCATCAAAAACGGGAGCATCAAGTCATTGTGAAACAGAAGTACAAAACATCAGTCATCCATGCCATGAATTCATGAATCTTTCCCAAAACCATAAAGAACAAACACATCCTGCACCACCTGGTAATCCCCAGCTTTCAGACGCCATAGCCATCCCCGCCTTGCGCAAGACGTCCACGGTGAAGGCTTTGGGCTGCTGCCCTGCTGGGAAGGTGAAGGTCTCGTTGGGGCGACAGGGGCCCTGACGTGGCGTCTATGTGGTGGAGTTGGGCCCGATGGGCTGGAGGTCTACGCGGGAAGCAGTCGGTGATTCACTGGCCAAACAATTTTGGACAAAGTCTTTGGTTCCAAAATACAAAAATGTCATTGACAATGTCGACCAATACAACTTCGCTGCGAAAGGAAGATATTGTTGTCAAAGGATAGCTTGTCAAAATTTACAAACCACTGTTGCCGGATACCCGTTCAGTCTATGACCATACTTGAGCAGACCCTTGGTCAATTGCTTGATCCCGATAGAGAGAGAGAGAGAGACAGAGAGAGAGAGAGAGAGAGAGAGGAGAGGAGAGAGAGAGAGAGAGGGACACACACACACACACACATATATATATATACGTATATTACACAGTATATATGTACAAATATATATATATATATAAATATTGATAATGTGAAGTGCCTGAAAATCAAAGATCCCAGCAAATTCAATGGACTGGCTGTGATCGATAGAGTGTCACGACCACTCTGCAAACAACTCAGAAATGCCGTTGTGAAACAAGCACCCCAACTGGATGGTTAAGCTTGAAATATCAAACATTTATGGTCCCTCTATCGCCTGGGCCCTAAATTTTGACGCCTGCCATATGGGTCTGGTCCCAAGTGTCGACTTGGATGATTCCACGCCTGCTTTCGTGTCTCCCCATAGCGGATGGAGAGAAACGTATGGGCCTCGTTCTGCACCGCTGCGCTTTTGACAAGTACAGATACATCTACTCAAAGTAATATATCAAAATGACACATAGATAATCATAGATAAACAAATCTATATCTACATATATTACATATCCTCTATCTAGACTGATTCCATGCTGCACCAATGCGTGATGACAAGCTTACATCATTTTCTAGGTGAGCTGTGTTTTAAATGTCTTGCATGGCGGCACCAAACAAGGAAAAGCTTACGCTGCTGCTTACGCATTGCTTACGCGCGCACAAGTTTTACTTACGCACGTTATAGTACCTTACGCAGACCTTACGCGGACAATTTTTAGCACGTCACCACAGTTTCGACTTACGCGCAGCAACTTTTACATGCAAGAATCGAAGCAGTGATTGGCAAAATCAAGCAGTGGACGATGAAGACGTGGAAGAAGAGGAAGAAGATGATGAAGAAGTACCACCAGCAGAAGCTCGCCGAGCACGAAGCTGACGACGTTTTTTGACAGCACCCTTGCTGAGAGCACGGGCATGACTGGAGAGTTTCTCTTTGGGCGGCATGGGCAACTACTGGCAAAAGCACCTTTGGCTTACGCGCAGCTTACGCGACGCTTACGCGGTCCTTACGCGGATGTCAGGAAACAACTACGCAAAACACTCACTGAAGATAACCAATGTTCCTTCAAGAAAAGGCATTCCAATGCACAGGTTGCCTGTCACTCTCTGCATCTGCCCCTTTCTGATATGCTGAATTCTTAAGTACATGTGGGTCCCTGCAAACCTTGAACAGCGATTTTTTTCAGTTTATAAATGGTCCATATCGATAGAAATGGGGAAACATGGGAAAACCATCCATACCCTATAACGCCAGGCAACCTGAAATTGATACCAAAACCATCCAGGTGTGTTGAACTAAAAGACCGGAGGGCTACCGTGGCCCCAGGAAAATCAAAAACCCGTCCGGTCATGTCAGGTTAGGATGCATCATACATACCACTACTTAAAACCTCAAATTAAAACCGTTGAAAATGAGCTTACGCCATCCTTACGCCAGCAATATTGGTAAAAAATGCTTACGCAAGCTTACGCGCACCAGTGTTTTGCTTACGCCACAGGCCCTTACAAGGATCCCAATACTAAACATAAACACGGAGGTTTAAAACGCGGCTCAGGTGGAACTTGCATCGTCCGATTGTTTAAGTGGAAAACAAGCGCATATTTTGCAGACCAGGACAAAACAGGACAAGGCTGCCTTGCAATCTCTTTTCTAAGAAGATATACTTCATACAGCCATGTTGCTCTTGAAGGGGCCTCAGGTTTGGAAGAATGTACCGATTGATTTGGAAAGGCGGACATCCCTTGAACCCAGTCTGAAAATTCGTCCCATCCAAAATCATTGGTAATGAACAAAAACGTAAAAATGAGAAACTTTGGATCACCTTCTTGTTGGCCAAAACTTCTGGCGGGTGACCGGCTGGTCCTCCACTTCCAAGACCTGCAGGGATTAGGACGTCTTAGACACCTAGATCTTGCATATTCAGGGGGCGGTGAAACCAACACGGTGGCGGAATCAATAAACTTGATGACAATCTGTACCATATGGCTACTGATGGCTACTGGCAACACTTATGATCTATCAACGCCACCAATTTCTTTTAGCCTGGCACATGATCTTAGATCTGGCAACACTTATGAAAATCAACGTCACCAAATTATTTGATCCTGGCAAACGATGCTAGATCTGGAAGACGCGCCATTTGTGAGTGTAGAACTTATGACTATGGCTAGTGGCCAGATGGGGTATGTCAGCTTTCAGGTGGATATTGGCTCAGGAAGACACGAATTCAGAGGGACACATGCATTTTCAACCTCATGAAAAGGTCGGACTTCAAGCGCCTCGCAGTAACGACACTATTATTTCAATGTCCGCCTACTTTTGACTTTATAGGATCGGACTTTAGGCCACTCCATGCTCTGATTCCGCAAGTGTTGCTTGGGAACAAACAAATCCTTCCAAACAGATATGTTGAACTTCCTGATCGATGATTTCAGCTGCAAAATTGTGCTTCGCACATCAGTTCTACGTTGAACTGAAATGGCAAAACACTCAAGTACAAGCACAGCCACGTTCATGTTACGCTAGAAATTCATGCCCTAGCTGGATGATTATCTCCCGTGCTTGGTGAAGCCCCCAAGCCCTCACATCATACTTGAAGGTTTCGGGTTGACAGCGCCCATTCCAACAACCCACGAACGGCACCTTGATGTCCATTGCGTCAATGACAATTGAACCGCGGGTGGCTGTGACAATGGCAACTCTTGCTTCAAAAAGAATGGAATACCTATGGTACTGACCCTGTTGTTCCAAGAATTCCATTGAAATCCTACATCTCAGTGTGCTCTTTGCTCACTCGTTCACCATTCTTTGATGTTACCGTGTGACATACCCAGTAAAGATCTCTAAGCACAACCAGCTCATGAATAAGACTGACCGTTTCCATTATTTCTTGTTGCTGCCGCTTCACACGGAACCGGAGGATGGGGCCAAAGAACAAGAACGCAGCGGAGGGCTTAAATGTTTGTGGGAAATACTCTTCTGCAGTGCTTATGCTCAGTTTGGATTGACAACTGTCAGGAAAACATGAGCAATGTTGTTTGGGAAACTTTAAAGTACAGAGCATCATAAATCATTGGTGGCTTCACTTCATCAGTTGGGGTACCCATATCCTGTGGTAAAACCACGCTAAAGATGGGATGTCACCCAAGAAAGGAGGGACTTTGACACCGTGTCTCTTTACAAGTTCCTGTATAGATCAAGTGACTACCGGTGAAATTCTCATGTTTGCAGGGTAAGATTCGATGAACCACCCACAGTTTTTGGTCAGATCCCACCATTCCACAGCAAGATGGTGGCGCCTCATTGTCGTCATCCATGGTTCCTCGGAACCTGGGTGGCGCAGGATATCCTGACAGATGGGGACAACGCCAACAAACATCGTGAAACTTGAAGCAGAACTAACCTACAGTAAGAGAGCTCTACATAGGACATGGTACAGGCAGCTAACATCATCAAACATGGTGGCAAGTAAATCTACAAGGGTTGGCTATTGAGGGATCGTCCTGCCGTTGTTACACATCTATCTAGAGTCGTCTACAAACAATAAATGTTGGAAAACGCCGATCAAAATGTGTTCTTCAAGATTTCGACATTCAACGGCATGGTGGGAACTACAAACATCAGACTGTTGAAGAAGTGGAGAGAAGACTAAAGTTCCCCACGATGCCACTTTACAAACATTTGTCCCAGTGACGTGGCTGAGCTTACCCTGCAAAAAGTGTTGTGAGGTAGCATCCCTTTAACAGTAAGAAACACACTCAGTAAGCCACCCTACACTAAGATCTGCCGTGGCATGGTGGTACCTAGGGCCTTACGCCAAATTGGGCCCAGAGACGTCTCCACGGAGCTTTGCTTTTCCATCCTCGCCATCTCCTCGTTGACGATGTCATCCAGCTTTGCCTCGGGTCAAGGAATTCTGAAGCCGATGAAATTTCAAACTCTGACCGACTCTGACCATTTTCATTTTCCAAAAAACATATGCTTAGGTTTGGTGACCTTTTTGGGATGAAACTGAACAAGTAAAGTACTGGAAGATGCTGGTTAGCTATTTCGCTTGCTTGTGCGACTTTTTAATCTTCAAGACTCGGTGTTGTTTAAGTTTCTCAGGAATGTCACATTCAATCCTGCAGTTGAGAGGGCTGAAGTGAGGGTGCTCTCTTCAATCTAGATTTGCCCGCAAAAGCCTAACCTTCCGTACAATTTCACATGGAAACCACCAAACAACATATTGCAAATGTCATTTTTATTGTGCGGCTTATGGTCTTCAGATTGACCTCTGTTTTCAAACATGAACTTCAAGGCCGGCCTTCTACGAAACGAAAAGACAAGACACCAAACTTATACCACCCGGAAACCCCACGAACACATCACAATATAATATCCAAGTCAAACCTTGATTTCTGTGGGCGGCCTCAACCCAACAAACCAACCCCAGGTTAGGGTGGCCCCACAGCACTGTAGGCCAGGTTGGCGTTCATGTCCTCCTTGGTCGCCGGCCTCACCTGGTGAATTTATGAGGCAAATCGTCGGTTTAGCCATGGCGCTTGGGAATTTGAATACCCTCTAGTAAACAAACATAGCTAATGAAAATGGCCATTGAAATAGTTGATTTACCAATTTAAAATGTTGATTTTCCATAGTTATGTTAGTTTACAAGAGGGTAATGCGTATGGCCAATTTGATCTTCCGTTGTTTTATTAGTTATCTACTTTGGATTTTTTTGTGCTGGGCTTTCTGTCGCAACCCTAGCAACAAAAAACATACGGTCAAACGTGTCGAGCCTGAGTGACTCCACCGAACCATGGCAAACACAAAATAACCACTTGGCTGCAACCCATCGAGGGGAACCATTTTTTTAAAACACCAGTGATCACCAGTGTGTTTTACGTTTTGAGTGGAGTATTACCCGTCATACATGGGTGACCTTCGGCACCTTGCACTTTCATAGGGCACCAAACAAACGTTTCCCCACTATACCCCATGTTTTTTTGGTAAACATCCAGGGAAAACACCACCGCTGCACACCTTGAAGTCAGGCACGGGCTTTCCATCGATGACCCAGCCGCTGTCCTGGAAGCCAATTTGGACACCGACGCTGTGGGGCTGAAAAGTCATGCAACATCATGCAACTCGAAACAAAATCATATTATGCAAAGCTGGATCAAAACAGGAGAGTGGACGTAATATAATCTTTAACATCCCTTCAAATACCCGCGGACTTCACATCTTGTGGAGCCGCTTGCCAATGCAAGGGATGCCTTGGAACATCTTGGAACATCTGCTGAAGGTACGACGTCCCTTTGAATCCTTTTTAGTCTGGAGAGGTGCCATGGTCGACGCCAGGCGGTGCCACCAATCGCAATCTCAGGGCACACGGCCCCAAGTGGATGGTGGACAGTCGGGCTGCAATGGTTGGTGGTGTCAACCCCCGTGACAAATCCATATCACCATGTCAAGTGCTTACTCAAATCATGGGGTTCAGCTAGTGAGGTATGGGGGGTGAACGAAAACAACAGCTAATTGAAACAGCAAACCTGTGGTGATCATGTCTTTTTGGTGTTTGGAAGTCAGGGGCCACAAGGTGAATGCAGACTTGGTCAATTCCCATCTTGAAGCTTGGTCAGTTTCAGGAAACCACAGGGCACTTGCAGCACCCGGCCATCACTCAAGAAAAAGTCAATACTGAACCCATGTCCTTTGGCATCCTTTGGGAAGAGTAGGTGAACAGGATGAATTTTTCAAACAAGGATGTCCAAGATCAAAGAAATCGACCTTTCCAATTATATCATCAGGTGATATTGTCATTTCAGGTGCTGACATACGCCTAAAACTTCCGAGTTTCCCCTTTGCTTTGGTACTCTTGAGCTATCAGGGCACACGGACCCGATCGCTCTAGAGCACCATGCACCAGGGAACAGATGATAAAAGATCTCAAGAGGACCCCGCTTGAAGCACTGGGTGCCATGGGTTCGAGATTCTGTTACTGCTATCTTGAAATCATTGTTATGGTACTGCCATGTAATGCCCCTATTAAATAATTAATCATGTTCCATCTACATCCGGTTTATTATCTGCGGGCCCTCTGCTGGCTGAGACTGAACGCTGTATGCGCTTCACTGTACAAAGATCGCTAGGGCCACAAAGAGGAAGTGGGATACGGGGCCGGGAAGCCCACACTGGAATCCGTCCGAATGGCTCCCTCCAAAACGACCATGGGACCATCATCCTCAGCTGGTCGAATCACCTTGACCTGCATATACAAACATATTTCATCTAGATTAACTTTGAACTGAACCTCTGGCTGAGCCACATCAAACCTAGCTTTTCCCAACCCGCAACAAAAGGAAACTGCCAGACGAAACATAGAATCACGTCTAAAACAAAAAACAACATACGAAACCACTGGCGAAGCATCGTCATCCATGTCATTGCCGCCATCCTGTGGCACATCCGTGGAACTTCTTGGTGCCTGCGAGATCTGCGGCCCAACCTGCTTGGCCTTCGGGCGGTTCTTGCAACGAGAACAGCCTCGGCTGGGTGGTCAAAGCACGCCACCATTGAAGGACTGAAGGATGGTTGGCAGCTTCCAATCCTCCTACTAATTACTAACAGAGTCCTGAGTTGTGGGGGATCATCTCAAGTAGAGAATGAACATCAGACGTATTTGACACAGTCAATCAGAAAGTGTCTGGTCGGCAAATGAACATACCGTCAATCAGGTCGTTGCTAACCCTAGGACCGGAACGTTTCCAAATCAATGAACTCAATTTTGTTCATCCAACTATGTCCAGGGTGCACCGTGAAACTGCAGTCTGACAAAGGGCGCCAGTCATTCATCTCATCCCGCATACCCTCAGATCCCACCTCAAAAAACAGGCTGCGGCCTACAAATCCACCGAGTGGCTCTTCAGGGCTTCATTCAGGAGAGTCTCATCCTCTTTCAAAGCCAAGATGTGATCTTCCTTGCTGAGCTCGTAGCCTGGTGACTGGCTGGGTCTGTGCAAACACATTCATGGCTGATGTGAAGTACCTAAGCAAGGTTTTGGGGTTCAACCATCAAAGAATTAGGGCTTAAATTTCGAACAACCGGACTCAACTGTCGTAAATTGAGCATCATTTAGCCGAGTATTAAAAATACAACATTTCTAGCGAAACATTAACCCTTTGGACAACCCAGGCAAGGCTCCCTGGGTGAAGGCAAGTTTTGTTCTGGAATTGAAATGGTTTAACTAACCTGAAAGAACTCAAGAGATCAACCAACTTTTTCAGGCTCAAAACGGGGGGCGGGGCGACAATTTGATTCCAACATATGTGCTCATATTGCCTCCTAGAATATTGCATGGTTGTCTCATCAGCACACCAACGTTCCTGGTGCAACATGAAGACAACATTCAACACGAAGGACTGGAACAACGTGGAACAACAATGTTATCAGTAATCATCATTCTCAAAAACTTTTGCATCGATCCCACATAAATAGCTCAGAGCCACACCCAGATTCTCCAAATCAAGACTGGCAACCGTGCACAGCCAAAGCCGTCAGCTCTTGCATTTGCTCCTCCGTCATTGGAATAAACAAAGCTTTCACTGGAGACCAAGCAGGGTCCACTTGGCATCCTGCAGCAAGCACCCGATCGTGCAGTGCTTTCAAGGCCCCCTCAGGATTGAAGAGCAAGTTGCTCATGAAGGTCGACGTTGCCATGCGAGTCAATTTGAACCTCCAGTGGAAACAAGGTCTGGCCAAATTATTCCAAGAAACCAATGGCTTTATTGCTTTCTTTGGTTTGGACTCTGTCGTTGTTGCTATCTAGTGGAATGCTGACTATTCAATTCTACATAACCATCAAAGGATTGAAAGTCAAACCCAATATTACGTGCCAAGGGGCAATGAAACTCCATGGCTGTTCAATGCCGGCACCACCTCTTTGCTATGCTGGACCGCCCTCAGCAAGTCGTCCATTTCCTCTGTTTTCACCTCATCGACTGCAGCAGGCACAGTTGGTGAAGGTTCCGGCTCAGCCACTTCAGAGGTTGTGCCTCACATCAGAGCAGCAAGAGGTTTGTCCAGTCACAATCAAAGAAATAGACAAGCACAAAGGAATTTGTCAAAGGTCACGTGCATCTGGGGCAATCTTTAATCAAAACTGCCACTATCTGGAATAATGTTCTTAGGCCTGGTGCAAATCCAACCCAACGCGCGTATCTCGAATCCGTTTGCCAAGAGGATGCCGAATAAAAGCTTTGAGTTTGCAAGTTTGATTATTTTGCAGAGAGTTGCCAAATGTTGATGCTGCACAAATTGAGGCAAGGCACTTGCAATATCCGGGAGCTCAGCGGCCGCTGTACTGTAAGCATTTGACTCACTGGCTGTAGCTCCTGCTGCAGCTGATGGTGGCTCGACAAGATCATCCTGCCAGCCAGCAACGTCATCCCACAGGCTCAGCTGGTCGATGAGTTCAGGCACCTCCATGCTGAAGAGAAGGACCTGATTGACCAATGGCTCTGTAGATCTTCCACTCGCAAGTTTCAGCAGCTGGTAGATTGCAATTCCTTTGGCAGATTCACGTCTCCATGAGGCTTTCAGAGCTGCTCTTCCTGCTGCTGTGGCCGCGCAAAGGCAACTTTCCTCTGTAGCTATAAAGCAATCTGCATCCCAGGTTGTGAGTCCAAGCTCAAGAAGCCGTTCGCCTTCGGCCTCTCCTACAGTAGCCTCACGACACAACTCCACATCCCTGACTCTCATGCCCATCCCTGCGCATGCGGCCGCACAGTCTGTGAGGCCCTTTACTATGGACAGGTCCAGAAGGCTAAGGAAGCTGCCCACCCTAGCGTTGGTGCCTGACCTCAGAATAAGCCAATCTTTCACATCAATGCCGTGCACTGTGGCCTCATGGAGCCTGTCCAGAGAGACAACCCAAGGCCTTGTGCAAAGGCAACGGCCCAAGTCATTGAACAATCCTGGATTCCAAGGGCTCTTGCTGCTTGGCAACAAGCCTGCAAATGCTTCGATTGGCCACCCCAAAGCAAACACAGATTCCCGCAAGGGAAGAGGAGCTGCTTTCAAGAGGGGAGGTGCTGCTTTCAAGTTGTTGCAGCTACCTTCGACCTCAGCCCATTGCAGGAAAATGCTCTCGAACGCGGCACCGGCGTGAAGCGCTGCAAGAAGGACAGGAGATTGTTGGCTGTAATGTGTCAGCTGAACTCCCCAAGAAGGGCGAGGTCTCCCAAACGTGTCGCCAATGTTCCACCGGCGCAAGGGCCGAACAGGGTTCTTCCTCGCCAACGCCGCAGCTGCCTCTTTGTTTCCGCTCAGGATGACAATGTCCAAAAGTCGAGCTGCAGTCTTCTGCGACACCTGAAAGGGCAAGTCGATGTCGGACAGGATCATTGCCAAAACCTTCAGGACCAACGGCTTTCTCATTACCTTCATTGCTGCATTGCGAGCATCAGGAAAGCCGAGATAGAAATCCTCCATCCATATTCCTTGGTCAACTGGAAAGCCCCATGTGCAATATTGGCATGTGGCCTTCTCCTTCCAACACTTGCATCCTGGATAAGATGGGGTGAAAAAGAGGGGCGAACTCTTAAAACGCGGGGGCGGACCAGGCCGAGGGGTGAGATCCTTGGGAAGGTATGAGCCCAAGTCGAAGTGATGAGCCTCCAACACGCAACCCGGAATGCCAGCTTCGGCCAGTGCAAAAGCTGTGTTGTCCATGCCAAAGGTGAGGCAAAGGTCAAACAAATGCACCCCTCCTGACTCAGATGGGATCTTCTGACTTAGTTTCTCCTTGTGACCCTGCAACAAAGCTTTAGCCACCTCAAATTCCCGGATGCCAACAATCTGCGGATCTTTTATAGCATCATCACTCTGCAGTCCATACAAGTTGTTCTGAATGGTACATCCTGCCATTGCTGCATCCTTCTCCACCTCCGGTCGGTATATCACCAACTTCTGGATGTCGAAGCTCTCCACCTCCATGGTGCCTGAGCCCTCCATGATCAGACAGTGGCACCGATGGCTATGCGATCTTGACCCCAAACAGTTCCACAAGGAGCGGCCGTGAATTCAATCTGCCACAGGGGGGATGGTCCCAGTGCTGCACAGTGCAGCCACATATCCAATTGCTTCAACCATGATTCAAAAGGAGGCCTCTATTCATCTACTGAAACCCTTTCTCATAATCTTTGGATTGTCAACAAGGTCTCAGAATTCAGATATCACCATGACAATTTGACTTAGACTTCTCAAGCTGGACACTGCTCCCATTGGCCCAAGTCCTTCTTCACGCCAAAGCCATCGCAAGAAGCCTGCAGCAGGGAAGGCTTCCCTTCCTGAAAGGTTTAATAGATTGGTATTCGTCATCAAAGCATATCAAAGCTACTAAGTGGGAAGTGTTTAGCCGTCATTTCAAGATAGATTTAACAGACATCATCACAAGGACAACTTGAAAACAGTGAAACAGCCTCCGATTTGTAGAATATGTGCTAATGTTGGCAACCCAATAGTAACCTACCATTTGGGGATGGTTCATACATCATTTATCTGGTTGGTGGTTTCAACCCCTCAGAAAAAATATTAGTCAATGGGAAGGATTATTCCATATATTAGGGAAAATAAAAGCCATGTTCCAAACCACCAACCAGTTCTGGTGGTTTTATGTGTTTTTGGGGATGTATTGTTGGGTTTACCGCATTAGTCGCAAGTGTTTAATGATTTGGTCCACCGGAGCCCACCTTGGCCACGGAGTCAATCTGGAACTGGCCGCACTCGTTGCTCATGAGAAACATCCTGAGGGGCACGGCGCCCAGGCATCGGGCCCAGGCATCGGCTCACGGATAGGTAGAGAATTTCATCTGCTTGAACTTCACCATCTGATGTTGGTTCCATCGAAATATCATTAACTATTGACTACAATCAACTTACTTCTACTTTCTAAACAATGAGAAAAAAACAGAAGACGTTGACAGCCTACGATTCACCTAGTCATGACAGTTACTTTCAAGATCCTCCCAAATCGCAATCACGTTCCCTCCCAAGCTGATTACAATTGCAGCACCGGGTGGGTCACCCCATGGGTCATCTGGTACCCACTGAGCCACCCAACTTTTCTCCGTCCTTCTTATACACTGGCCTCGGGTGCCGCCAGATCTCCAGGGATATCTACCAAAACATGCTGGCCAGAATGAACCACAAGCGGAGATCTCACGTCGAATACAGACACCCCGCTAATGAGACAAACATCCAAGTCCATCTTGTCATCTGGTGAATTGTGGGAAAGGACCTTGATCAACCAGCTGATACAATAATTATCATTGTTCATGAGTCATTGTAATTCCAGTCTTCAATTTGCAGATGACACACTTAAAAAATCCAGAATCCATCAGAACCCCCACAATTCTATCCATCTTGGTGGTTTGTGGGGGTCCCATTGTCCCCAGTTCACGATCCTTTGTCCCCAGTTTACCATGCTTGGTTAGTTGTCCCCAGTTCACTCCCAGGCAGAGGATACCTTGACTGCGATGCTTAGCTCTCAGGTTGCCACTTGCCGTTCAGCTTCTTTCCGAAGACAATCGACCATCGACCTGAGAGCTCGCCATGGCTGGCCATGTCAAAGGAGTCGGAGTGGGTCGGTGGATCAACCGATCCCTGAACGAGTAGCCAACATACGTCAGAAGGGTTGACATGTCATGTCTCAAATAGGAAGAGCACAACATGATCTTTTCTCGGACATGGCGGTGGAATTTCACCTGGCAATTCGTAACCATATTAGAAATTTCATCATTCCAGCCCTCCGGTCGTTCTTCAAATCAACGTTCACATCATCCAACATCATCAACCGTTGACAACATGGCCAACATCAACATCAACCACCAACCATAGATTTTCACCCACATCATCCCATCCCACCACCAGCTGGGGACCCGTACCGTTCAAGGGCACGGCCTTGGAGGGATAGCCTTCCGCCATCAGGGCCTCGGGCCTTAGATCCGCCGTTGTGCACCCCGGGGATGTTGAAGTCCCCCAGCTGGTGAATAGATGTGGTTAAGTGTGTTCATATGTGTTAATATATGTCATATGATATAGTTGAAATAGTTATATATTTGTCATAATATATATATATATGTTAACCGCTGGTAATCACGTGGTCCTAAAAATCGAGGACCGCTAGATTTTGAAGGGCGATGAATGATCAGCGTGTTGGGATGAACCCGACACATGGCTTCTCGACTTTACCAGCCACAAACATGGAGCTACAGCAGCTGTCCAAGTAGGAACATGGGGATGCAACTAGCAAATGTGGGTATGGAATGTGTATTTCTTCTACTACATCCCTATATCCCCACTCTGTTTAGTTTCAAATGATCCCCCATAGTCCCAACATCTGCCCACTTGATGATTCCTATGGATATAGATTTCATAATGGATAACCTCTATATGTTCCAAATCAATCTCCACATATCCATCTTGAGTCAGTCACCATTCTATCCCCAATAGATTTCCATTCAAATCCCCTTTCGATCCCCAGCAATCCCCAATGGGTAGGGATACAGGGATATATTGTTATAAGAATCATCATTACTAATAGACATACTATAATCATCTATATCTATATTCCCCTTAGCCCTTCTACGTCCCTGGGTTCCCTGCGGTCGTTCCTTCTTCTTCTTGGGCGCTTCCTCCTCCGCCATGGCCGCGCTGCTCATCGCCAGCGGCGCCAGGGCCGCGCTCAGCGCGGCGCGGCGCCCCAGCGGGGTCAGGAACGACAGGCTGGGCCTGGCGGTGCCAGTGAAATGCTGGGTGAGACTAAGGAAAGATAGGGAATTTACAACAGATATCTATACGTATATCATGAGTATCTGAAATAGTTTGAACAAGTTAGATATAATTATGTATAGTTATATGGAGAGATTCTATGTAGTAAACATGAGGATTTCAATTATAACTTCAGTCATTAAATGAAGATTATGTGTTCTGCCCCCAAAAATGGGTTTTGTCTGTTAAACATGGGATGAGCTGAACTTTTTAGTGGTGGAAGAAATTACTATCGGTTGGGAATATCATACAAATGTATCGAGAATAATCATGGTATTTTGAACCAAAAAAAGGGGTGGCTCCAACCCCAAAACATTGAGATTTTATGCAGCTGCAGATTTCTCAAAAAAGAATCCACGGTGGAAGATATCGCCAATATCTGGATCTCTGACTTTGAGCAATGGCTTCAAGATTTTGAGGTGTCGAAGAAGATGGAGTTTGTCTTTCCCACACTGGTTGGACCTCATACCAACCTGGTTGGTGGTTTCAACCCCTCTGAGAAATCTGAGTTCGTCAGTTGGGATGATGAAATTCCCAACTGAATGGAAAATCATAAAATTCCATGGTTCCAAACCACCAACCAGTAACCAACCCCACCTGAGCAGTGCCAGCAGCCCCAGCAGGGCCCACAGCACGATCCCCGGTCTTCGGACGATCACCATGGTGGCGCCGTGTCGGACGGTGGCGGGCTCAACTAAGCTGGGGAAACGTCGACGGCGGCGGCACCGGCTTCAAGGTGGGGGAGGTGTGCATCACACCGTGGGCTTAGGCTGTGAATGGAGTTGGATAAAGCATACTTTCTCTATGGTAATCGAAGTATAATCAAATCTGACAATGGAATATCCCATGAATTTACTAAACACATCATCAATAAGTGGGACATATTCCATTTCCAGCTTAGATTACCATAGGGTAGATACCAGCCAACTAGGGTCTAAGCTGGAGGTATGGATCCCAATTCACGGGCATTGTTGAGCCTCATGCCAAGGTTACATGGATCCAAAACGGTATACTGCTTGGTGGTTTCAATCCCTCTGAAAAATATTAGTCAATTGGGATGATGATTCCCAATATATGGAAAAACAAAAAAAATGTTCCAAACCACCAACCAGTATGTATAAAAATCTTGGGACTTGGTACCCTTCTGAGCCGCCTAACATGAACGGAGTTGACTTTGCTAGTTATATCAGTTGCATCACCATATTCGCTATTTTCGAAAGCCTAAATCAATATTTTGCATGCTTATATCACCATTTGGACGATTGAATCACCCGTTTACCTTTTTTGATGGTTAAATCCAACTTATCATGGTTCAATCAACGTTTTCACTTGTTAAGTCACAACATTATTCTTGGATAAATCCCCTATATTTCTTGGTCAAACCACCATTTTTGGATGGGTCAACTCCGATCTTTCCACGGCTCAGGCTGTGTTCCCCAACTCTTCCACTTGCGCCAAGATCGCCAAAGCCTGCGCCGACACAGCCCCGAAGGCCGTTTGCGCGTGCCCCTGCGAGCGATCAACGGATCAACGGCACGGGATGGGATTGGGCAGTGGATCTTTGTGGAATTCTTCGAATGATATCATTTGTGGGATAATGTTGATATAATCCCAGTATCCCATTAATTCCATTATATCAACATTATCTCAAGGTTTATATCAATCTATGAATAGTGGGAGAATGTTGATATAATGGGATTATAGAATGATGCGACAATATAGGATGATGGATAAACAATCCGATCCCCCGATAATTTATAAAGACCCCCAGAAACCATGGTGGACGTAAGGGATCTACACACATATTTGGGACCATGGAATGGAGGTGTTTATTAGGGGGATGGGATTGGTCCTGTTTGAAGTGCCTACAGCAATCCGGTCGATTTTCGGGGATCTGAAAGTTTTTTCCGCTCTCCCAAAGACCCTTAGTGCTGGATTTGTTGAAGGCCTTCTGAAGCTCATTCCCACTTCTTCCATATTATGAGCCCTTACTGTAACATCGGGGTGTGGCCATGAGACGTTGATGAACCATTGATGAAGCGTCATGAAAACACCATGAAACATCCGAAAACATGGTGAATCACAGAGATTTCAGCCCCATCGCCTGAGCGGTGCTGGAGAGTGTTCGTACCTCAGTGCAATTTCAGCGCTTTTCTATAGGGGAGAGATGGAGGCATCAAATATCATGAAATGCCAAAAACATCAGGCGAAAAGGAATTGAACCAGGTTGAGCCAAGTATCTAAGTACCGCATTGGGTGTTTCTCAAAATTGGGTAGCCCAAAGCCAATGGTTTCTCTATCAAAAACGACCACTGAATTGGATGACTTTGGGGTAGGAGCCCCCACACATGGGAACACCAAATGCCTCCATCTCTACAGTTCAAGACCTCGCTTCACTATGCAGGTGGCTCGCATCTTAAGAGCCATGAAGATCACTTTTAAAATTTTTGGGATGCCCCCCTACTTAAAATCAACCAGCCCTGAGCATCGGCTATTGATCCTGGTCAATAAGTCAATAAGTTTTTAAAGCTATTGATTCTCTATCAAAATCATATTTCTACAATTGATTTTGAAAGCCTGTTTTCAATAGCAAAAACTCACCCAAAAATCAATAGGAAAAACAATGTTTCTGACTAGAAAAATCAATCGGGAAAACTATGTATTCCAAAAAAAAATGATCAAATTTGATCAAATCTTGTACACCACAAAAATCAATAAAAAAACAATTGGAAAATCAATAGGATCAGACCACTTTTGCTACCAAAAAATGTTGCAAAAAAAACATGACTCTCAAAAATATTGTTTTTTCAATAAAAACAATAAAACTCAATATCAATAAGAAATGTATGTTTTTTATTGATCAGGATCAATAGCCGATGCTCAGGGAGCATTGACGTTATAGACATACGACTTCAGACACAAATCGAGAGTTCCAACGAATCTCAGCTGACACAATATTCTAAATCACCATGTTTGCTATCGTCAAATCATCACCCCTCAAGCTGCTTCGCTTGCAAACTCCTTGAGGTAAGTGCTTGTTCGTTCACCTCTTTTGCGTCGCAAGTCAGAACTTTGCACGCTTCCTGAGTCCCGGGAGCCAGGGTCTCTACAGTCGCACCACTGGCTGGGAACACCAAACATCCTCCAATTTAATGCTCATTTTCAATGGGGAAATTCATGGTTTGGGGGCAACAAAAAACATGAAGAACCACCCAATAATTTGCATTATTTGACATTCCTTGGCTGATCTGGAATGTGTCCAATTGTGGTGGTGAATGGTCCAACTTGCAAGTCTTTCTAACTCTCGCATCTACAGTTTAACCTCTGTCCCATTTTTCTTGGTGAATTTTCCCGGTTTTTGGTGCTTGCATTTCTCTTCCTCGCCTCTTTTTCAGCATATTTTCACCATCAACCAAACATCATAAAGCGATGTAATCGACAACTTCTTGCCTGATCTCCCCTACTTTTAGTGCTGAAATACACCCTTCTTTTTCTGGTGGTTTCAACTCATCCCCAAATCGCCGTTTTATGATTCATCGTCCCTAAGAAGGCTTGACCATTGATGAAACCATCAGCCATGTATACCCAATATCATCTCCAATTTTTGGTGCTAAAAACTCCCTATCTTTTTTAATGGTTTATTGCCATTGCTTATCAACCTTTATATGGTAAAACCTCCCACAAAAGTGAGGATGGACAGGTGCATCTGAGGCTTCGGGCGCCCACCACATCTACCTCTGCCAAGGAAGCGACGCTCTTGGTGACTGTGTCTGCATGCCTGGCTCGAGAGAGGCTGTCAGACTGACATCGTTGAGACACGAAAACTCTGGTGATTTGCATGGCGAAATCTGGCTAGATAATTAACCATAACCAATCTATTGGTTGTTTATTAGCCAATCTGGTTAATACTGTACATAGTCAACCTAATAGATAGTTAGTGAATTTTGATGAATTTTGGCGATTTCACCATTAATGGAAAATTGATGACTATTGCTCACCTGCAGTGCAGGTCCAACCTAACCCATCCTGGACTTCCTACTCACACAAATGAAAACGCGGACCAATCAACTACGGACCCGCTTCTCAAGTGGCAAACACATACACATTCACAGACACACACACACATTTACATTCCCATCACCATGGCAAACACATTCTGTACAAAAAGTGCCCACCACCAGTTGCTATGCCCAGGCAGGCATTCTCCATAAATGATACCACCATCTGGCAGCCCCCGCTTGTCGATGTGTGGCTTCACGAACTTCCCATGTACCGAATCCTCGAAAGCTGACAGGATGTTAGCTGCTGGCTATGGATCCAAAAAGGGCTTCTACTCAAGCTGCAAATCTGGACAATCTGGATGCCTCTTATGCGAGAACATCTAAGATTTTGGATCAATGATTTTGATCTAATCGCACAGTTAAAAAGTGAGAATCATTCATTGACGACAATGTGATCAGATTGCTAGCCATATCATATCATATCATGCATGATCAAATTGCAAAAGAACACCAATTTCTCGAAATCATGTAAGTCTTCCAAATTCAGACAACACTGCCCTCCAGTACTCAAACATTGTTTGGAAAACCATCTATAGTCTATAGATATATATAATCATATATGTATATATATAATTATATATGTATGGGACACGAATCTTCCACAGCTTCGATTTTCCCAGGCTGCCAGGCGTAGACATCGTAGAAGAGCTCTGCAGTTCTGTGGAAAAGATCAGTCGTCAAAATGGGCTTCCCTTCCTGCCGAACTTCGAGGATTTCGAGGACGCGGATCTGACTGTGTTTTCTTTTTTCAAGGATTTTACCCGTCGCCTTTATGGCTAAATTTTGATGGACAACATGGGGCATTGGCAACTTTCATAGACTTTGGTAAGAAAGAATATTGCAAGGAGTGGATGGAAAGGGGGTATGTTTTTGGACAAACCCATTTCAAGAGATGGAGAAGAGGCTTGTGATAGCATGCTAAACATTTTAGGGGTTGCAACAGCAGAATTGCATCCAGTACGGTTGTCCCCAGTGGTAAATAAGAAACAACAGAACATTCCTAGTTTCACACTTGAATCCCCCATCTTCGCCGTTTGCATGGCTTATCTTAGATACGCTTTAAACAAGATGAATTCCTTGCTGGGCACCCAGGTTTGACACAAACAAAAGCATCTCCACTTGTCAGGTCGGTTTCTGACTAACATCACCCAGTCTGATTGCAATCCCGTAGAGGTTTGTGTGAACATGGGGCATCCCAACAATTTGATGATTGATCATCATTTTCCCACATCAAAAAAAACCACTTGGTGGTTTATCCCACTTAATAAGTGGGTTAGTTCACCCTAGTTATAGTGGATTCACCCTACTTATCTCACTTGTTTTTGGGTTATAATCCACTTACTAACTGGGATGAGCCATAAAAACCCGCCAGAATTCGTGGTAGATCTCTGTTTTTTCTTCGGCACCTGTGCTTTGGGGGCCGGTGCACTTGGTGTTTCCTGCCGCTGTCCCGGAGACATGGACATTTGGTGACGATGTTGACTGGGATCTATGGTGGATATGCCATTTTATTGGGGACAGTTATGAGAATCCCATTGGAATTGGGGGAGCCTTATTTTCAGACAAACCATGACAAAACCTATATCTAACAGTTGGATGGG